GCACTGCAAAGAGAAAATATGTATTCAAGATTGATAGTAAAATTAATGATGCGTACAGCGAAAAAGTATGGTGGCGGCTTGTTAAAAATATCTTAGGGGCACCAGTAATACAAAATTTCCTCCCATTAATTACCATGATATACTATATGATGATACAAGAGATATTGCAAATGTGATGAACAATTATTTCTCTGACCAGGCATCTGTTAAATATCCTGATAAAATTCTCCCTTATATTAAGCTCAAAACAGAAAAATCGCTCTCTACTATCATTCTAACAACAAAGGAAGTTCAAGATGTTCTCCTATCTGTTGATGTAACTAAAGCAACAGGGCCCGACGGTATCGGCAATAGATTATTGAAATTAAGTGCTTCAGCGATATCATATCAAGTGGCTAAATTGTTTAATGTATCCCTGGATAAGTCTATTTTTCCGGTAAGTTGGAAAGAAGCTTCCGTTGTGCCTATTTATAAGAAAGGAAATATTAATGAATGTAGTAATTATAGACCTATAGTTCTCACGTGTTGTGTGGCTAAAATATTCGAAAAATGCGCGTTTTCAAATATGTTTTTTATTACTTAAGAGATAATAATTTGCTTACAAATCTTCAATCAGGTTTCATGCCAGGAGATTCTACCGCTAACCAGCTGACTTACTTATATGATTTTATTGCTAGAGAATTGGATAAAGGTAAAGAAATGAGAGCAGTCTTTAGCGACATTAGTAAGGCCTTTGATAAAGTCTGGCACAAAGGCATTATCCATAACCTAAAATCCTATGGTATTGAAGGGAAATTATTGCGATGGTTAAAAAGCTACCTAAAACATAGATGCCAACGGGCTGTTATCAATGGGTATAGTTCAGACTTACGACCAGTTACGGCCGGAGTTCAACAAGGGTCAATTTTAGGACCGCTACTGTTTCTAATTTTCATAAACGACATTATAGACGGTATTGATAGTAATATAAGATTGTTTGCCGATGACACATCCCTATATGTCGGGGTAAATGACCCGTGTTACGACGAAAATTGTAATAAAAAGGTAAATTGTAATACTTGCAGCAAATTGTAATAATTTTGACGTAAATTGTAATAATATTTGACGTAAATTGTAATACGCAAATTGTAATATAAATGTACGTAAATTGTAATAATCTCTACTTGCGGTAAAATGTAATACATTCTTACGTAACTTGTAATAACCTTACTACCGTAGTGTCCAAGACGCCAATTTGCTAGAAATGATCTTGGTCAGTTGAGCTTGCGTTTCACATGTACAATTCGAGAAATACTGTGTATGATGACAAACGTACAAAACTGTTAAGTTAGGGATGTTTGGTATAGGCTTTATCGTAAAATCGTCATTAAAGGGTGGTGTCAACATCGATAATTTTAAAAGACTGAAAGATCCATCCTCGGGTTCAAAATGATGGGTTACCAGCCGTATATTCGACAAATAACTTAATTGTGACATATTGTTCAATACTCTTATAAGGCTATCCAAGATGTTTTTTTGCATGACTTGCTTCAACAGTACGTTGACCAGTTCGACACGACTGAACGAGTGATAACGAAGGGTACAAACACAGGCTGGTCAACCAGTGTGTCGATTTGCAGTGGAAATGCTATACGAGTTGATAAGGAGTACATGATCCTTTTCTTGAAACAAACGAGGGAATTTAATCATATTTATACAATTCATTATATTTTGGCGAAGAATTCAAATACAACAATTGAGTTGACAGATCCCGTGCATACACAAATAACATCCGGTATCTTCGGATAACTCTTGTATAGTTTCAAAGAGTATACGAATTATCATAAATTTCTTGCAATCAATTGCTGAAATATATCTGCTTGTATCGAAATAGAAAGGAATTACAAATTTATAATGAAAATATGTTTGTCACTAAAGCAAATTTTCTCTTTGACCTTGAAACGTACTTGAAGATCATTAAACTCGACAATCGTTGGTGGATTGCGCCAAGAAACCTTGATACGACATATATACGTACAATAATCCCCTGAAAACATAACCTCCTCTGAAAGATTAAGAGGATTAAAGTAATTTGGGCTAACATCAAGCACTGTTATAACAGTATACTGATGAGGGCATTGTATCGGAGATAAATAAAATTTGGTTTCTTAGTTAGTCACTATTCTTTTCATTGGAATGTTAAGAAGGTATGCTATAATTTCAATATTTTATTACAGTGCTGGATGTTTGCTGGAATTATTTAAATTCTCTTAAACCCCCAAAGAAGACTATCCTCTGAGGTAATATTTGTCCGTATATAAATTTATGTAAAAAATTAGTGATAACTTGTGAAAAACGTAATTATCTGTTTCGAAAATTATGTACTGCATTATATGTGAGGTACCAAATTTGGTATCAAGGTTGCTTGGCGCAATCCACCAACGATTGCCGAGTTTAATGATCTTAGAATACTCTTCGTATAAGGTCAAAGAGAAAATTAACGTTAGTGACAAAACCCTTTTCATTATGGATTTTCCATCCTTGTAATTTTGATCAAAACAGATATATTTCAGCAATAATTGATTGCAACAAATTTATTATACATTCTGATGCTCTTTGAAACTCAACAAGACATGCCCGAAGATACCGGATATTATTTGTGTATGCTTTGAATTATGATTTCGTGCCGTTATCATGATGGATTCTGTTTTTGTTGTATGGGCAAGGAGTTATTATCCCAGCAAAAATTGTCAGTAAGTTGTTGTTAGTTCTTCATGACATATGAAAGGAATCCAGACAGTTACATTTATTCATTTATTTCATTAAATATACTTCTTCCTATGAAAGGAAATATGTTATGTTATATTAATGATCCATATGTTAATCATACATTTCTACAAATATTGCATAAGTTAACATGGTTTGCATTTATTTATTATTATTTTTTTATCTGTGAGAAGTTCACAGAGATCGAGAATACACAATATCTAAATGTAGATTACATGGTGTTGGTTGTACGTTAGATGGGGATGTATGTAGCTTACATGAAGTTGGTAGCATGTTAGATGGGGATGTATGTAGCTTACATGGAGTTGGTTGTTCATTCGGTCTGGATGTATGTAGCTTACATGGAGTTGGTTGTACATTAGATGGGGATGTATTTAGCTTACATGGGGTTGGTTGTACGTTAGATGGGGATGTATGTAGCTTACATGGGGTTGGTTGTACGTTAGATGGGGATGTATGTAGCTTACATGGAGTTGGTTGTACGTTAGATCTGGATTTATGTAGCTTACATGGAATTGGTTTTACGTTAGATGGGGATGTATTTACCTTACATGGGGTTGGTAGCATGTTAGATGGGGATGTATGAAAGGGCACACGATTGCATTCCTTGGTGTCAAGGAAAACAATAACTCGTCTATATATAGTGATGTACAGAGTATGGTTGACAAGTATATAAACATGACAGGAGGCAGTGTTTATACAGTTGAGTAGGTTTAAGATGCAGTTACACTGCCGGAGTGAAGAAGACCTACTGAACTGTATAAACACTGCCTCCTATCCTGTATATATACTTGTCAACAATACTCTGTACATCACTTATTTGAAAGCGGTGTTAAAACCTACACCGAAACGTCGCTCCTAATTGTAACAAAAAAGTTGTTCATCCATATATCTTATCCTTTCTTAATCTTTATATATGTGTGTGTATATTGTGTATGTTTTGTATATATTTGAGTATATACCGTTTTTATCCGTTGGCTGTATTCTCCTGAGAAACCTACCCATTATATAGACGAGTTATTGTTTTCCTTGACACCAAGGAATGCAATCGTGTGCCCTTTCACATCGTCCAATAAATCCACCATGTAATACACACCCAACACGAAGAACAGGTTTATATTTCTTAGTAAACTACAAGTGAAAGGTAAGAACATACACTTCTTATCTATCTGCTCATCTCCAGACCAGGAAGTTGTCTATTAATCGACGACGATGTGTGCAATATCGATTACATTACTGAGGTAGGCAAGGCTAAGCTAGGATAGTTCAACATGCGTAGTGATATCAAGTACATGCCCTCGTCAGAAATGCGACAAAACCTTTTCCCTAATCATAAATTGATGTCCAACAGTAATTCAAACACTTACAGCGAAAAACGAGAAATGCACAACATTGGCTTAAACCGGTCATGCTTGTTTTAATTGGCAAAACATTTCAATGTAACGAAAACATGTATTTAATATTTGTTTAACCATAACCAGAGTATACTTGTATATGCTAACTTGATATCCGCGGGGCGGCCTAGTGGTTAAAGCGTGTCAAGACCCGGGTTCGATTCTCGACATGGGTACAATGTGTGAAGCCCATTTCTGGTGTCCCCCGCCGTGATAGTGCTTGAATATTGCAAAAAGCGGCGTAAAACCATACTCACTCACTCACTCACTGATATCCGCGATGACGACCATAAGCGCGGCGTGCTCACCTGGGATCCTAACTGTGGACACACTTAATTTGACGTTCTTCCTTCTGGAATAGGGGCGGTCGGGTAGCCTAGTGGTTAAAGCGTTGGATCGTCACGCCGAAGACCCGGGTTCGATCCCCGACATGGGTACAATGTGTAACGCCCATTTCTGGTGTCCCCCGCCGTGATATTGCTTAAATATTGCTAAAGCGGCGTAAAATCATACTCACGCACTCCTTCTGGAATATAAACTGTAAAGCATTGCTATTCTTCCTTCGATGAAAGTCGGTATAACTTCACATAGTGGATAAAACGTTTGTGGGGCTGGGTTTAACTCCCCACGTTGATAAATGAAGTCTGTTCTGTGCGCCCTGTCATCTGTCATGGCTAACATGATGATACGAGTGAAGCAAAACACTCACTCACTCTCAGGATTACATTTATGACGCGTTCAATTATTAACGAAATAAACAACTCGTCCTTGCTGTTATCTTACAATAAAAAAGTATAAACTACGAGGGGCGCAGCCCGTTTATTCTCCGGGCAGTGTTTTATTGCATGATAAACAAAGACCACGAGTCATTTACTTCTTATATGAGATATCAACATCGACAGCCTCTGTAAAGTGTTGATAAAATGTACAAGCTTGAGAGATATTTACCATGATTTTAATGATGAAGACTCCCTGAATAGAATCTGACCTCGGAAATGTCGGACAAGTCCATTTTATGAACAGGTGGGTTACGTTTGCTATTTTCAGCATGTTCTCACAATCCTCACGCCGATTACCTGTATCTTTTCTTCTAATACGGATTGTCATACCTCTTCCACTTTTGGATGCGTTCGTTCGGCCACTAAGTTTATCTGAATAGCCTTGCTACATCTATGGCGTTCAACTAACTGCCACTTCCCTCTCAAAAATAACGTCGTCCAATATATGATCAAGTTGCGAGCGCATATTCGAATCTCCAGAACTGACGTCATGATAGAACATGTGGAAGGTTTTATCGTGAAAAACACACACCCTTCGTTCTTCTGTGTTCTTTGCTATTAATCGCGTAGCTATCATATATGTTCATATAATTCGTCGGGTCAGATACCCCACAAGAATGGCTGGTCCCTGTGAGGAAACATACGAACTAAAAAAGCCGCAGATCCTGCGGTTCCTGGAGTCCGAGGATGGCAAGTGTGTACTGAGCTCTCTTCAGGAGCAGGAAGGATGCATCATAGAAGTCATGGAGATAGACACTGGTGAGTTCAGGCTGTTGAGACCACCTCCGTGGTCTAGTGGTAGAGCGTCCGATTGGAAAGCGGAAGGTCCGGGGTTCGATCCCCGGCCGCGTCATACCAAAAGACGTTAAAATATGGTACTTGTTGTTACACTGTCTGGCTCTCGCCATTAAGGCTAAAACAAGGACTGGTCGGCTCAGTCAGTACACTGTGTCTGAGTGGGGTATTCATGTTAAACTGCGGCCCGATCACGTTAGTCGCCTCTTACGACAAGCATAGTCGCCTTCTAAGGCACGTATTAGTTGCTGAAGACCTATTCTACACAGGATCTTCACGGGTCTGTGGAATATTATGGACTGACTTTTCGGGGGTTGAGGAACTTGACCTGAAATGTATCTCTTGTAGAAAATGCTCGGAAAATATTATTTACCCCGGATATTCGCTGGACATGCCGAATGTCCTGATAAGTATTTGTTGTGAAAGAAACAAAATTGGCGTCCCCCTCAAGAGAAAGCAGTACCCGAAAACATGTCCTGCATGACAAAAAGCAAGTAATTACAGTTATTTGATTTACAATATCAACAGCAGACTTGTAAATATAAATCACAGGCTTTACATGACCAACGCTAACAAAATACGATAAAATTGTTTCGTTGTTACAGAAGATACTGCAACACGTGTCAACTTGTCATTTCTCAAGAAGCAGATAACAGAGGTCACGGTAAGTGAGTCTCAGTACACAGTGACAGTATCAAGGCAGGACTAGTTTTAACTTTAAAAACATGACTGAAATGATGTAAGCTGTTATCATGATTTAACATGAAAAAATGCTCTGCTGGCGTTAAATCTTATGATGGATTTAAATTGTTACTTGCAGTTCGGATCATGATCACATATGATGTATAATCATTCTTAGGGCTACTGTATGGAATACTGTAAGGGACATCCTCGCGATCTCGCATTCTCGCGATCTCGACCTTACCGCAAAAATGTCCCTTACAGTATTCCATACTACTGTTCTGTACATTTGATATAAGTGATTCACGATAAGCTTGCTTAATTTTTCTTAGGGGGCACGGGTGGCCCAGTCGTCAAAGGCGCTGCGATTCGCTGAGAAGAGTCGTCCCTTGGGCACGCCCCGATAATGTATCTAGATTTGTCAGCACCATACCCGTGCTCGTTGGTTTCAACGAAGTGGTTAACGTCGGAGACCTGCATTACTTCAGGCATTCTCACATTAAGCTGATACGCCATGGTATAACTGGAATACTGTTAAAAGCGGCGTTAAACCCAACTCACTCACTCACACACTATTGTTGCTTAAATATGACGCCGAATGTTGGTTGGTAGGTTTGTTGTTTTACACCGCACTCAGCAATATTCCAGTTATATGACGGCGGTCTGTAAATAATCGAATCTGGACCAGACAATCCAGTGATTGATATCATGGGCATCGATCCACGCAATTGGGATCGATGACCTGCATCAACCAAGTCAGGGAGCCTGACCACCCGATCCCGTTAGTCGCCTTTTACGACAAGCATAGTCGCCTTTTACGGCAGGCATGGTTTGCTGAAGACCTATTCCACCCCGGATCTTCACGGGTATTCAGGAACTGTAGTGATCATATTGGGTCTGCTAACATGGTTCTTCCTCATGTCTTGATAATGGTATCAACAAAAGCACGATTGTTTAGCCTGATGTTATCGTTATATTTTAAGTCTGAGGTCATTTTTTTTTAAATCTGAATTTAAATTCGTTTGTTGCCGCCATTGTTAAGTTGAAACTACACGTAACGTATAAGCATCAACTTCGGCTGACTTTGTGTCTGCAGGATGACGTCATCGTTAGTTCCGTGGGATCAGATCTGGACATGCTGACTGGCCAACTTTCCAGATGTGTTTTGGAGGCTGCTGGGAAGGAGATAGGAGAAGAGTGTAGGAAAAAATGTCCAACAGGATTAAATGTTGGTGGGATGGTTGTGACATCTGGAGGTAGACTAAAGTGTAAGGCAATATACCACTGTTGCCTGCCCCCCTGGAGCAACAAGCAGCTTAGTCCAGAAGATGTAAGGCTGATTTTATACATGTTTTTGTTTAAGTTTTTTGTTAGTTTGTTTATTATTAAACGCCGCACTCAACATTATTCCAGCTATATGACGGCGGTCTGTAAATAATCGAGTCTGGAACAGACAATCCAGTGATTGACATCATGAACATCGATCCACGCAATCGGGCTCGATGACATGCATCAACCAAGTCAGCGAGCCTGACCACCCGATCCCGTTTTTCGCCTTTTACGACAAGCATAGTCGCATTTTACGGCAAGCATGGGTACCTGAAGACCTATTCTTCCCCGGATCTTCATGTGTTTAAGTAGTATATCCTATAATTCGTATCAAATTAAATATATCCATTAAAACAGTTGATTATTTTGTAATTAATTCTTTCTTGCAATAATAGAAACAAGGTGATCGAGTTCTCTCTGCTTACCATAACGTAGATCAGTACTATTTCAGTCACATATTTATACGTGAAAGTATCCAATGTTTTTGTTTTGTAAGGTGTTAAAACAAGTAGTCAGCTCTTGCATCACCACCGCTTCGACTGAAGGATACAAATCCATTGCCTTTCCTGCCCTTGGATCTGGTAATCTTGGCTATCCTAAGTACGTGACAGTAGCATCCATTGTTGATACTGTTCGGGAGTTTGGCGATGTCCCCCTTTCCCTAGCGGACGTGCATGTCGTGGTCTCCAGGAAGACCTAGACTTTGAAGAGGTAGGTACCTGAAACCTGAAGAGAGCCCAGTGTTTGAACTACCGACTTGCCTTTGCATGTGTTTGTGATGGTGCCACCGGTGGAGCAGGATGCGCTTCATACAAAGGACTCTGTTTTAGCACATATTTCTTAAGATTGTTTAAAGGGTTTTGTCGTTTTTATTGTAAAATGATATTGTAGTATTCCTAATATTACTAATGTAGTATTCCTCATGATGTATATCAAGAGACAAGACTCTTTCCTGTCTGTGGTCTGTGGTACAATTCAGACTTTATCATAGGTATCTGTTAAGGAATCAATAAAAAATAGTGATGAAACGAGGTGTTTTGGTACCTTGCCTCATTGGTGGTATCCGTCGCAAGCACATGCAAACACAAGTCAAGTGAATACCTAATCATTTTTGGTTGGTTGGTTGGTTGTTTAACGCCGCAATCAGCAATATTCCAGCTATATGACGGCGGTCTGTAAATAATCGAGTCTTGGCCAGACAATCCAGTGATTAATATCATGAACATCGATCCACACAATGTGGGATCGATGTTCATGCATCAACCAAGTCAGCGAGCCTGACCACCCGATCCCGTTAGTCGCCATTTACGACAAGCATAGTCGCCTTTTACGGCAAGCATGCGTTACTGAAGACATATTCTACCCCGGATCTTTACGAGTCAAACATCTAAACAAACACGGGAATATGATTATGGTATAATAAAGCGACAAAACCCTTTCCATATCTAAAAGAAATCTGTACAATTCCAACTACTGACGTCCAAAAGAAACTTTACCAGAGTTTGAAATCACTCTTGCTCAAAAGCAACAAAACATACATGCATGAAGTAAAGTGTATTGAGAAGATCAATATATCAACATAATCAACACTGAAAATGACAATCATAACGCGACCGAGAATGACGTCAGAGGCCCCCAAAGTTGGGTGTGGTGCAAAACTGCTGTTGGAGAAATGGTAGGACAACTGGACGAAGAATGTTATCCATGTAACGCAGAGCTGTCACGTTTCCGTCAACGATGACCAGCGGTGTCCTCTCCTGCCCACAGATCCCTTCCCACGCCATGACACTCCCCCCACCATATGGTACGACCTCCTGCACGCAACACGCCGCCGTTCGTTCACCCCTTCGGCGGTAAACACGTTGTCTTCCATCAGCCCTTAACATACACAATCGACTTTCGTCAGTGAAGACAACCCTCTGCCAGTCACGTCGCTGCCAACGTCGTACAGTCCGGGCCCATCTCAATCGCAGACGACGATGTTGCGCTGTCAATAGCTGTCCTCCGTATGGTGTAAAAGCCCTGATTCCATGAGCCCTGAGTCTCCTGGCCACTGTCTGTCGACTAACCCTGTGACCTAAGGCATTTTTCGCCGATGACGTCACTGTCAGGAAGCGATTTCGGAGGTGCAAGGTACGCAAGTACCGGTTATCATGGGGCGTGGTCACCCTGGGTCTGCCTGTTCTTGGCCTGTCAGCGGTCCGCCCTGTCTGTCTGTTCGTGCAACATGGGCGTGGTTGGCTCCAGTCTGTACCATACCTAAGGCTGGTTCACGTTGTTCGACTGTGAGTCGTGGCATTTCTTTTGCGTTTCTTTATCACTGTGGATGTCTGACTTGCCGTTGCAATCGTTTTATACCCTTACCCAAAGGGGAGCGTGTCTACAAGCAGCCCTGTGGTTTCATCGTAGACGAGACGTCGCTTGTCGTACACGGCATTTTCGAATGATGTGATGAGGGTAATCCAAACTGATTTTCTCCCCCTCTTTCCCCGACCGTTGTCCCAGTATCAGCCTTTTCATGGCGTCAGAGTTGAGATGTTGTTGGTTTCTGTAATTCAAAGTGAACCCTCGCACTTTGCAGGTCGTCCGCGTTTCATCGGGTCTGGGGTTCATTAACTCATAGCCATAGTTTTTAGTGCCTCCTGACACAAACGTCTTGATGGTGTTTCCGTCCAGTTCGTCTGTAAACTCGCCCAACGAATGGCCCAGCTCTGGATTCGCATCGTGTGGTCGATGAATGTAAATGACGCTGTCCGTGTCAAAGTACAAGACCCTGCGACCCACCAAGGCAAGGGTGTCGTACAGCTTGAGACGTGCTTGGGCGGTGACCCAAGCAGCGATGGCGACATTGAAATTAGTATGAGGGGTTTGGAATTCTTTCTTCTGGGTATAGGTCACTTCCACCATGTGTTCGTTGACAACAGTGACATCCTCGATGGTATTGCGTTCATCCCTCCACAAGGCAAAGTACTGTACAGGATCGTTCATATAGATGTTCTGACTGTAGTCTAGCCGTTGTCCAAACTTGCCCCAGCGCGAATTCAGTTGCATCTTGGCAATCGTGCGACGTCCTGGTTTTTTTTCGATGCGGTCCTTGTCCAAACCAATGCCTTCTTTGTCGTAGATCTCCTGGATGTAAGCGTCGTGATCCGTGCGTCCCTCGGGGTATCCATTGGCTTCGAGCTGCTCCTTGAAAAGACGATCGATATAAGTGTCAAAAAGTCCTACTTGCTGGGTGCCGGGGTCATGCTGTGCAAAGGTGTCAAAATGCCAAACGTCGTAGATCTGAAGCACCTGGTAGTCATACTTCTTCACGGCTTCATGGAGTTCTACGGTGGCGTACGTGCCCACCCATGACCTCTCTTCGTCCGTGTGCTCGCAGGGGGAGTCTGACCAGGTATCGGCACACGTACGGCACAAAGGACAGAGCAGTTTGCCACCCGATCTGTAAGGCAGTAGCGGATGGTAGAGTCGTTTCGGGGGTAGGACACGGCATTGGATCAGGCCTTTCAGTTCAAACAACGCGTCCACAGGGGGTTGATGGAGAAGGGTCGGGTGTCCCGTGGGAAATGCTCCGGTCTTACAAATGTATGGATAAAGGGAACAAATATCGATGTACTTGATGGTTTCACCTTCTTGGGCTTCGTAGCATAATCGCGTGGCATTGGTGCGTCCTCCATAGAAGGCGTCGCGAGGGTTGAGCGGTCCAGGGACGTGGATACAGTGGGGTCCCTGCAAGAAAGCACGCAGAGCAGAGTCCTCCTGTTGCATTTTCGTAAACTCGTGCTCCCACAGGATGACGATTCGTTTCACCTCAGGGTGTTGACTCAAGAGACTCAGGCGGTAGTGGGTGTCGGTATAACGGGCTCCCAACGACGTGCCCAGGACGGGATGAGGTTCTCCACGTTGGGTCTTGTGACAGGTCTGGCACCCATGCCAGAAACAGCCCAGGAATTCGTAGATGGTGCCTGTCGCTGGATCGTAGCCATCCACACTGTACTGATGTTGGCCCTCTCCACACGTGAACTCTTTTTCACCTCCATTCCTGGCATGCTGGAGATGCAGATGGGGGTGCGTTTCCATCAGATAATGGAGCCAGTGCATACAGGTCTGGGAATACTTTCTCATGGGTTGGTAGCCTTGAGGTGTAAGAATAGCAATGGTATTGGGTTTCAGGTCGTGTTTTCGGAAGGATTTCATGGTGAACGCAGCAGCAGTCATCACTTCTACAAAGGGATCCATGCCAACCGAGTTGATGGCGTTCTGTCGGAAGTCAGCGCATCCTCGTCTCAAAATGTCCACATCGCTCTGGCAGTAGGCTAAAAGTTCTCCTTGCAAGTCAAACATGGCTCCTTCTTGCACTTTTTAGGTATGCCACTGGAGGAAGACTGTGCGTTCCGCGGGAGACATGCCATCGGGATCGTACATGACGGCTGGTGGATAGGGACCTCTGTAGGTCTGGTTGGCCTCGGTATTGAAAAAGTACGGAAAGTACCCTTTCTTCAGTTCTTTTAGCCCAAAGCTCTTTGGAAATGCTTTCAGTGGGTAAGGTATGAAATTTAAACTGTCTTCGAAACACAATCGTCCCAGGGTCACCTGAAAAATTTGTTGACCATTTCGAATCTTGGTGGGGAGTTTCACCAGAAGGGGGTACAGGCCCTTCAGGATCAAGTGTAAATCATACGATCGTGCATTATGGGCCATCACATAAATGCGATCCTCCTTCTGGACTGTATTGGTGGTGCTCTTGTTCTTTGTCTTCTTTGTCTTCTTTGTTTTCTCCACTTCCATGACATCTTCCCCCTCCACCTCTTCATCTTCCTCCTGCTGGGGTGATGAATGTCGTTGACGTTTTGAAGAGTGGTTTCTTGAGGGGGTTCCATCTCGTTTTCTTTTCCCCAGGCGTGCTGTTGTCCCCTTGCGTGTGCTGCCCTCCTCTTCCTCTTGGTTCTTATTCTTCTTCTTGGTTTTTTCAGCCAGTGTGGTCAATCACACACACACATCATGTCGCCTGGTGGGGCCTCGAAACACTATCTCACAGCTGGGACCATACCCTGCTTCTCTCCATGGACAGTGTTCGCACAAGTCCTTGCTCACTTCACTGATGCACCGTCCACATCCCAACTGCACCATGCACAAATTTGGAATGTGTTCCCCCGTGTCTTGCATGCATTCAAAGTCATAGAAGACGTATTGGACGTTGTCTCGTATGTGATGTTGTTCCTCTTCCCCCTCATCCTCAGCCTCGTTTTCTTCATGGAGAGGTGTCATGTAACAGCGATGGTCTGGGGTCATGGGTTCTCGGCACACCAAGCAGGGATGTTCTTCATCTGAGCACTCGTGGTGAGCCATGGCGGTCTCCAAGACGCGGATCAGCTGAAAACAGGTCGGACACTTGTGAATCGATTGACAAATGATAGGGCGTACTTTGGTTGCTCGTCATGATAGTGATGCGTGTCTGATGAACGTCTGTACTACAAGATGAACTGAACGTCTGATTTATGGACAACCCTTCCTCAAAACAGGATCGAAATCTGACCAATCCGAAGCCTGGGTTGTCGACCAATCAGAAGACAGCACCGACCAATCAGAAGACAGCACCCGAGTCGAGTTGTGCTTTCTCTCCCATGGTAAAATCCATTTCCTATGGAAAATAAACATAAGGGTCGGGTCGTTTTAGAAAACCGAGGTGCAGGCCAGGCACCGGAACGAACCAATCAGTGCGTTGCGTTTTGGACCAACCAGGAAGCGGCGATTTTCGATCCGGTTCTTCTCCTATAAAACAAGAGTGGATTCGGGTGGGTCAGTGTCACTTGTGATAAAAAGAAATCATCATCATCAGTAGCAGCAGCAGCAGCAGCATAAAGGATGGCTGAGACAAAGAAGAGTGGTACGACAACGCGTGACGGAGATGTGGTGATGGATATTGCGGATACTCGTGGATGTTGGAGTAAGAGTACGGATGCTGAGGATGCGTTGTCACCACTCAGTAACACGCCGTCGCCCTATTTTCTACGGTTTGAAAGAAGGCTCGCTTCGTTTGAGGCATGGCCTACGCAAATGAATCAGACTGCTGAAGAGATGGCCCATGCGGGCTTTGCCTACACAGGGGGTGCCGATGGCGTGTACTGTTTCCAATGTGGCGTGCGGCTGAGACGATGGGCGCCACACGACGATCCTTGGGTGGAACACCACAGGTGGTCCCCACACTGTGACTACCTCAGACTAACCGGTCTGGTGAAACACAAGAAGTAGCTAAAGCTACACTATCTCTGCGAGGAGATGGTGAATCAGAAGAACACGAATGGCGTAGCACGGCCGGCTGTCTAGGAGGACATTTCCCATGTCCTGTGTTCCTGTTCAAGTTCCCGTTCAAGTTCCTGTTAAAAATTATTTTATTTTCCAAAACGGCCCTTTTCAGGGCCACCCATCTCACCCAAAAGACAACTTTCATCCTTTGCTTTGCCAACCCAACAATTAAAAAAAAAGAACCCACACTCTCCCCCTAGGCCTCTTGGAGGCATACGTCTACGCGAGACACCACCATGGTACGTCTCAAAATAAAATAAATATATATATAAATATATAAATAGAGACACGTAGTACACCACGTCAAACATCACGTGTACATGAAAACACGTGTCATGTCCTATGGAAAATAAACACAAGGGTCGGGTCGTTTTAGAAAACCGAGGTGCAGGCCAGGCACCGGAACGAACCAATCGGAGCTGCTGCCTCGGGAACCAACCGGGAAGCAGGGTGTCTGTGCCTCTCCTATAAAACAAGAGAACAACCATTCGATTGGATCAGTGCCACTTGTGAAATTTATTTTAAAAATCAGCAGCAGCAGCAGCAGCAACAACATGGAAGAAAACTGGGATCTTGAGATCATCTCAGTGACACAGCCTTTGCCCCTGTGCAAAGGGTGTCACTCAGAGTTGGAGAAGAAGAAAGAAGCAGTAGCATTGCAATCGCTACCTCCATGGCAATGCGGCAGATGCCAAGGGTGCCTGCCAGTGTACGCCCTTGGTACAAGGGCATGGGATGGGACTTTCCAATGCGTTTATTGCAAGACCATCTTGAAGGATACCTACATGCGTCGTTTAACGCACACAAGTAGGTGTCCTGTAAGACGCCAAATGACAGCCCACCCGTGCCTTTGTACCGTTGCGTGTACGTATACGTGCATGTGAAGAAGTAATCTTCTTCAAAACGGCCCTTTTCAGGGCCACCCATCTCTCCAGAAAGAACGCTTTCATCCTTTGCTTTGACGACCCTCAAACCCAAACAAAGAACCCGCCTCCTCCTCCCTCCTCCCTCCCTCCCCTCCCTTCACCACCACCCTCCCTTCACCACCACCGCCTTTTCTATATTTAGAACAACCAAAGAACAACAACAATGTCGATCTTGTTCACCTTTTACGACCGCTTCTCTGGGTTTTCCCCTCTTCCCTCCTCCCCGGAAACGGATGCGACGCCCTCTTGGAGGTGCGCGGTCCACCGGAAACGGATGCGACGCCCTCTTGGAGGCGCGCGCAACCGGAAACGGAGGCGTTTCCCTCTTGGAGGTGCGCACGCCACTTGAAACGGATGTGACGCCATCTTGGATGCGCACGCCACCGGAAACGGATGTGCCGCCATCTTGGAGGTGCGCGGTCCACCGGAAACGGATGCGACGCCCTTTTGGAGGCGCGCGCCACCGGAAACGGATGCGTAGCCCTCTTGGAGGTGCGCACGCCACTGGAAACGGATGTGACGCCATCTTGGATGCGCACACAGGACCCATCATGCACTGCGCAGGTCACGTGACCGGAAGTGACGTCACAGAGGTCACGTGATCCTCTCGACCAATCAGAAGCAAGGAGCGGTCCTGTAGCGATGTACTCAACTGCTCTCCAGACCTCTTCCCATAGAACAAGTCTGGGATGAGATAGATCGACGTCTACAACAGGATCACAACCAGCTAGCTCAATTGGACCAATCTTTGATTGACATTTCGAACAGCATCACAAGGATTTTTACATTCATCTTCTCTGCCTCGCCTGTATCAGTGCAATTGGTGGTCACGTCTTAGTTAACATGCTAGTCTTTATGTGGCATTATTTCATTCGTCCTTCATACAAAGAGATTAAGTTACATAAGTAATGTCGTGATTGTATGCTATCTGAGGCCTGTAGGAACCTTTCTTTCAAACCCTTCTTTCGTCATTTTTATGTTTGATTTGTCTCCTCCACTAATACCATTATTGACCATCTACAGGAGTGTATTTTACCATTTCAGGCTTATAAACAGCACCAACACAAGGTAACGGCGTCTGAAGATAAGAGCTCAGGTAATTCATAGTCTGACCACCCGATCCCGTTAGTCGCCTTTTACGACAAGCATAGTCACCTTTTACGGCAAGCATGGGTTGTTAAAGACCTACTCCACCCCGGAATCTTCATGGGTCTTATAGATAGTTAGTAAACATGTGTATTTACTGACCAAAAAGCGAGCTCCTCTGGCCTGTCTTTACACGTGCTGTATGTAATCATCCCTCAGTAATACCTTCCTGTATATCACACCAAAACATCCAGCAAACCCTTGTAATCATTTGTTTTTCACCTTTCGTTTGTACATATCATGTTCCGTTCACAGGAAGACTGAAGTCTCGTATAAAGGCACTTAAGAGGTCAACATCCAGAACAAAGGTTCCTACGGAAGACGGTGTGCTTGAAACACCAAGCAGTAGTGTATTGAAAAAGGTAAATCAAACATTATTAATAGTAGCGGTTAGGCTAACAAGTGGTTAAAGCGTTGGTTTGTCAAGCCGAAGACTCGCACGCGAAGTAAAGGAAAAAACACAATACACAGCGCTTGGTTGAGAATGTAAACGCGAGGGTTGGGGAGGGAAAATGATGCGGGCCAAAGGCACAAGAGCTTGTTCCTACTCAATGTGTTTACATTCTCAACAAGCACGAGGAAGAGTGTCTTATCCCACTTTCATAAACCTATTCATTGGGATCTCTATTAAGTAAGAGAGTTCTTTCTATCGACATTAAAACCTGTTGTGAGGTTTTACTTTCAAAGTAAAACCCATTAAGAGGTTTTACTTTCAAAGTAAAACCTATTATGGGTTTTTTTTCGTTCGGCAGGTTTTACTTTGAATGTGAAACCTCAAATCCCAGGTTTAACCAAGTAACTTAAAAAATGACAAGTAGCAATTCAAAATTTTAATTCAATACAAATTGAATGTCAGGTGTACAGTTCCGCGTGGACATTTAAAAGCGACATCACTTCAGAGTCTCTGGTGAAAGGACAGCGAGGTTTCAAAACACGTGCTTTTAAACAAGTGCTTATCAATGCTGCACAACTTGCACGTGCAGTAACTGCTAGCCGTTACGTCACAACTACCTCTATGTAACAGTTGGATTGCTTAAAGTCGAAAATCTTGTATAGCAAAAAACACCTTTAAAATTTGCGAATTTTCGTTTTGAAAAGTTTAAAAGAAGTGGAATATTACAACCCAAACATTTAGAAACCGAAGATTTCACTTTCATTTAAAAGTAAGTATTTTAGTTGTGTTTTGTTGTTGACACATCCAAGGGCTCTTGACCGCCTGGCAAGTCAGCGAATTTCACGTGCAAGTTATGATATCACGTCTTCAAGGAAGCGCTATAATGAAGCGCCTCATAGATGCTCGTTATAACATTTAATCAATTAAGACGGCATGCTCTGTCTACCAAAACCGAGGGAAAGTGTTTTTCCATACTTATAAACCGTCTTAGTGCTAGAAATACCAGACAAAAACATCGCGATACCTTATAGTGAAACAATAGCGTAGCGGTATAATCGAATTTGATGACAGCGGGCAGAGAAAGATCACGTGCAACTGAAGTCATCACGTGTAATGTTGAACACCCTTTCATCAACGAGTGTTTACATTTTTAACTGAAGGATAGTGTTTTATTTGTCTTATATGCCGAAAGAAAAATCAGAAACAAATATCAACAATTTTATGTTTCCAACACACTTCCAATGAACCTTAGGAAATGGACGTAAAATATATCTTGCTGACCGACATACATGCACATGTACATGTACATGTAAAATATTATTCTTAAAAGATTTATCAGCGTCTCAGTGTATTGCGTATATAGTATGTAAGCACATACATGTGTTTGGAATAACATACTTATGATTGGTTGGTTGTTTTGTTGTTTAACGCCGCACTCAGCAATATTCCAGCTATATGACGGCGGGCTGTAAAATAATCGCGCCCACCCGATCCCGTTTGTCACCTTTTACGGCAAGCATGGGTTGCTGAAGACCTATTCTACCCCGGAATCTTCACGGGTCACATATACTGAGTCAAATTAAAAACTTCACATTTTTAAAAGTAATCCCATATATGATATACAACGGACAAATGTATCAGAGAAGGTCATTTTTAATCATTAATGTCCAAAGAAGGATTTTAATTAACGGTGGTAACCATAATTTGTTCCAAGCACCTACGGTATTCGGTAATAACATCAACAGTTTTAATCATAAGTCCCAAGCACGAGAATCTGATGGCACACAAGTTCAGTAGCGTGTATGGCCACCATGTGCGTTGACACTGCCACACAACGCCCCTGGATGGACCTTGTGATGCTTGTGAACACATGATTGGGAAGACGACGCCATTGTTGCTGCAAAATGGTGCAAAGATCTTGCAAATTCTGTGGTTGGTTCTGGAGAGTGCGCAGACTTCTGCCAAGAGCATCCCAGACGTGTTCGATGGGATTGAGGTCAGGAGACCTTGACGGCCAGTCCATGACGTTGACTCCCGCATTCTGTCAAAATTGCTGTGTGGGGGTCTTGCATTGTCGTGTTGGAAGATCAAATCGGGTCCATGTGCTGCCATAAAAGACAGAAATTCTGGTGCCAGTACCTGGTCGCGGTAAGCAGCAGCGTTGAGGTTGCCACGGATGACAAGAAGCCTGGAACGTGCATTGCAACAGAAAGCACCCCACACCATGACACTTCCGCCTCGAAATCTTTCAACTTCCTGTACACAACACTGGGCGTAACGTTCATGACGACGCCTCCTCACCCTCGCCCTACCATCAGCAAATCGAAGATTAAATCGGGATTCATCACTTAAGACGACTTGATTCCAATTCCTCTGAGTCCATCGTAAGTGTCGCTGTGCCCACAATTGACGTTGACGTCTGTGTAATTGAGTCAGAATCGGCCCGCAGTATGGCCGTCGTGCTTGAAGGTGAGCAGTCCTCAGACGGTTTGCGCACTCAGTCTACCCCTAAACAGTTAATTTCTGGTTGATGTAGACGTCCAAAATCAGTTACGGAGGTGACGTAAGACAATCTGACGATCCTCTGCATGTGACGTCACACGTGGTCGACCTGGCCGAGGGCGATCAGCGGTGGTACCCGTTGGCTGTAGACGCGTCTGTAAATCATAAACAGTCCGTCGACTACAACCCATCGTCCCTGCGACTTCAGCTACGGACGTTCCCGTCTGCAACATGCCGATGGCACGTTCACGTTGCACATTTGAAAGGCGTGACATGACAAATGGCCGTAAAGACTTTTGTTTTCTTGCGTTTTTCTTTTTTGTTAATGACTGCTAACAAGTATGGCTGAAAACATGTGCGATATTATGGCCACGTGACCAGTTGCACGTGAAAAACTACTTTTGCCACTATAGTGCTGTGCTCATGATTTTGATCGATTCACCTGCACAGAAACGGGTGTTATCTGAAGACAACACGTGGCCATTACTGTTTAAATACACAATAAGGGCCCACAATGATAACTGGTCAAAATGTTAAAATTTTAGGATTGTGAAGTTTTTAGTTTGGTTCAGTATACTTATGAACTGTACGTCAGATCATGTTTTAGTATTTATTAAAGTGTTTGAAAATGTGATAACATGTTTGGGTATGTAATAAATTGTTTCCATATGTAATATGTCTCAATATGAAATTACATGTTTGAATATTAAATTTCACATTTTAGCGTGAAATAACGTGTTTAATTTCAATACAAAATAACTTACTTTAATCTGCAGATGCCTGCAACAGAACGCCGTGGCAAGAACGAGTCTGCAGCGTCAGTCACAGTGTTCTGCCAGGAAAATAAGTGTGACGTCATCATAAAAAAACTGTCAGACAGATGTGATGAAGACTACTCCAGGATAGTCGCGGACCAGAGAACACTGAAGCTGAAGTCTTCACAGGTAATACGTGTGCAGTAAAACCATTTAAGGAATGGTCCGCGGTGTAATCTTCCAGGGCCCCTTTCCCCTAGGCGAGGGGGCACGGGTGGCCCAGTCGTCTAAGGCGCTGCGATTCGTTGTGCAGAGTTGCGTCCCTTGGGCACGCCAAACACCTATGATCCCGGTTCGCCCCGATTATGTTTCTAGGTTTGTCAGCACCATACCCGTGCCCGTTGGTTTCTGCGAAGTGGTAAACGTCTTAGACCTGCATCACGTCGGGCTTTCCTCCCACATCGAGCTGACACACCGCGATGTAACTGGAATACTGTTAAAAGCGGCGTTTAACCGAACTCACGCACACTCCACTAAACTATCTTTGTGCTGCGGTTTTGTTATAGTTGGGAGTTACGATGATCTTAGGGCTACGGTCGCTTTATGGAACTGGGCCCTGATTCCTAGATTGACAAATAATGGGTAGTATTAAATGTCCGATTAATTGTATGCAATTATTCCTACTATACATCCCCAGGATGTTGAGGCTATTCCTGACTAGTGTAGATCCACTTTCGAAATTTTAAAACAATTAAAATTCCAAACGATATTGATGTCGGGTAGGCTGAATTGTGAGGTGTCGTACACCGTCAAGCTTCAAAGTGTGATATACGGAAACAAAATTAAGATCAGAGCAAAGCACACAACTTTCCTTGCATTTCCTATCGATGTCCTGACCTGCAAGCAATACTCTCCCTTTCTTATCAACCTCAGACTGAAGACCTTTTGGTGTTTGCAAAGAAAGAGGGGGTGGTTGTCGACATTGTAGAAGACAGTGGAACGGTAATTCTGAAGGGTCCATACAACGGCCTTACCAAAGTGAGTCATCATCTGGATGAGATGCTACAAACAGTTGCTGAGTTTGGTTTTGTGGGTGAGTGTAATCCATTTAGTTAAATATCAGTTCAGCTTCTACCTCAGGTTGTTATCTCGGAGTTTTCCTTACTGTAGACGGATTGTATAAAGTGATAAGTATATTGGCTTGATATCTTTAAGATACATTTTAGAAGAAATAATAAAGACAGGCTTGACATGGATTTAAGCTTCTAGTCTTTCAATGCTATGTCTCGGTGCAGGTGCTTGTGAGGTGAGGTGAGGTGAGGTGAGGTGAGGTGAGGTGAGGTGAGGTGAGGTGGGGTTTAACGTCGCGTCCAAGATTATTGCACTTATATAGCGACGTGCATGCACGTGTATGTATGTGTTGCTGCTTGTACTAGGCCGGACTGATGCCGATTTATAGTGCTAGCTCACTGAGATACCATGCCGCAGTTTAACATGAATACCCCACTCAGACACAGTATACTGACTCCGAGCCTTCAAGTAGAGGGGCGGTCGGGTAGCCTAGTGGTTACGCCGAAGACCCGGGTTCGAATCCCGACATGGGTACAATGTGTGAAGCCAATTTCTGGTGTCCCCCGCCGTGATATTGCTGGAATACTGCTAAAAGCGGCGTAAAACCAAACTCACTCACTCACCTTGTTTTAGACCCTTAATGCCGAGCGCCAGACAGGGTAAAAACAAGTACCATCTTTTAACGTTTTTTGGTATGACGCGGTCGGGGATCGAACCCCGGACCTTCCGCTCTCCGGTCGGACGCTGTACAATTAGACCACGGAGGCGGTCTGCAGGTGCTTGTTCCTTCAGCAAGTGAGTACGGTTTTACGCCGCTTTTAGCAATATTCCAGCAATATCACGGCGGTTTACACCAGAAATGGGCTTCACACATTGGACCTGTGTCGAGAATCGGAAAGTCTGTCTTGATCTTATCTTCTCGGTAGATGTTCTTGAAATCTTGGTCGAGTCGGGCTCTCTATAATGCAGAAATGGCAACAAGGACAGGTCATTAATTCATTACTTAATACATTAAGAGGCAACTAACCGGATCGGGTGGTCAGACTCGCTGACTTGCTTGATGCTTGTCATCGATTCCAATTGCGTGGATCGATGCTCATGATATCAATTACTGGACTGTCTGGTCGAGACTCGATTGTTACAGACCGCCGTCATATAGTTGGAATATTGCTGAGTGTGGCGTTAAACAACAAACCAACCAACCCAAATGCGTGGATCGATGCTCATGATGGCAATCACTGGATCGTCTGGTCGAGACTCGATTGTTTACAGACCGCCGTCATATAGTTGGAATATTGCTGAGTGCGGTGTTAAACAACAAACCAACCAACCCAATTGCGTGGATCGATGCTCATGATGGCAATCATTTTACATACTGCCTTTATATATATGGAGGGCGGCGTTAAACAACAAACAAATACAACATTTCAATTGAAGAATGAAGCATCTACATGCCATGTTCACCTGCAGCTGTTCTGTTTCCTGACGTGAATATTTGTGTTTGTCTGTCTAGCCTATCCAATTTGCTGGGAAAGAGTAGACACTGACCAGAGGGTGTTCTGCGTGGCTGAAGGAAGCAGAGAATACATATGTGTTAAGAACAATTTGATGAAGTCTTTTGAAGACAAGGCAAAACGTGTAACCATCCTTAAGGTAAACGCTGTTGACATCCGAAATAAGATTACCTAGCTGTAAGTCTAAATGAACTCATTTAAGCATTACTTTTCAAATTAAAAATTGATGGAGACATCCAAGGTCCTGAACATTGTCATTCACATGTACAGAGACTTGCACACAAACATATAAATTAATATCCCACTCACCAATATCAGTAGACCCGTGAAGATCCGGGGTAGAATAGGTATTCAGCAATCCTGCTTGCCGTAAACGGCGACTATGCTTGTCGCAAGAGGCGACTAACGGGATCGGGTGGTCAGGCTCGCTGACCTGGTTGATGCATGTCATCGTATCCGAACTGCGTGGATCGATGCGCATGATGTCAATCACTGGATTGTCTGGTCCAGACTCGATTATTTTCAGACCGCCATCATATAGCTGAAATATTGCTCAGTGCAGCGTTGAACAAACAAACAAAAGCATATCAGTGTCTTCTCTTTTCATCTCAGATCGAAAGGATTCAGCTTCCGAAATTGTACAAGCAGTTTCAGATCGAGAGACAGACTGTGCAGGAGGAACACCCCTCTCAAGTTAATGAACGCATCCTTTGGCACGGAACCGACATCGAAGCGATTCCCAATATCAACAAATATGGCTTTAATAGGTCTTACAGTGGAAAGCACGGTTAGTTGACTATCGGATTAACCTGTTAACTAAATGAGACCAGTGGTAGTTTGTTTGTGCCGCACTCAGCAATATTCCAGCTATACGACGGCGGTCTGTAAATAATCGAGTCTGGACCAGACAATCCAGTGATGACATCATGAGCATCGATCCACGCAATTGGGTTGGTTGGTTGGTTTGTTGTGTAGTCTAGGTATATCACAACATCATGTTGTATTGTGCAGCGGCACGCAATTGGGTTGGTTGGTTGGTTGGTTGTGTAGTCTAGATATATCACAACATCATGTTGTATTATGCAGCGGCACGCAATTGGGTTGGTTGGTTGGTTGTGTAGTCTAGATATATCACAATATCATGTTGTATTATGCAGCGGCACGCAATTGGGTTGGTTGGTTGGTTGGTTGGTTGTGTAGTCTAGATATATAACAACATCATGTTGTATTATGCAGCGGCACGCAATTGGGTTGGTTGGTTGGTTCGTTGGTTGGTTGGTTGGTTGTGTAGTCTAGATATATCACAACATCATGTTGTATTATGCAGCGGCACGCAATTGGGTTGGTTGGTTGGTTGGTTGGTTGGTTGTGTAGTCTAGATATATCACAACATCATGTTGTATTATGCAGCGGCACGCAATTGGGTTGGTTGGTTGGTAGGTTGTGTAGTCTAGATATATCACAACATTATGTTGTATTATGCAGCGGCACGCAATTGGGTTGGTTGGTTGGTTGGTTGTGTAGTCTAGATATATCACAATATCATGTTGTATTATGCAGCGGCACGCAATTGGGTTGGTTGGTTGTGTAGTCTAGATATATCACAACATTATGTTGTATTATGCAGCGACACGCAATTGGGTTGGTTGGTTGGTTGGTTGGTTGTGTAGTCTTGATATATCACAACATCATGTTGTATTATGCAGCGGCACGCAATTGGGTTGGTTGGTTGGTTGGTTGGTTGTGTAGTCTAGATATATCACAACATCATGTTGTATTATGCAGCGGCACGCAACTGGGTTGGTTGGTTGGTTGGTTGGTTGGTTGTGTAGTCTAGATATATCACAACATCATGTTGTATTATGCAGCGGCACGCAATTGGGTTGGTTGGTTGGTTGTGTAGTCTTGATATATCACAACATCATGTTGTATTATGCAGCGGCACGCAATTGGGTTGGTTGGTTGGTAGGTTGTGTAGTCTAGATATATCACAACATCATGTTGTCTTATGCAGCGGGGGAGAAACGGGAATATTATATTTGGCCTAAAAGGGATTTAAAACGTCAGCGTCTGAAAATAACCAGTCTCATTTATATGTCATGGGGTGAAAAAGGTAAAATAGTGATTAAAACTACTTGAATGGATCAGTGAAAATTAGTGATGACATCAGGTGTTAGCAAGAATTTAACATTTTGAGTTGTATTCCAAAGGCGCCTCAAAACTGTTTTAAGATGTGCCTTTTATGCGTAAGAGAATCTATATGCACCAACCATCTATCATCGTGGCTTCCAACCCAGATTCTAGATCTCAATCTCCTCGGGCTTTCCTCCGCCAAATCGCCGTAATATAACTGAAATACTGTTTAAAGCCGTCTTAAACCAACTCACTCCAACACTCAAACGAGGCAGGCGTGGCAGAAACCAGTGGTCATGGCTTTGATTCAGGGTTTGTTGTTTTACGCCGCAGTCAGATTTAAATTATTGAGTTTGTCCCAAGCAAACCTGTGGATGATATTATGAGCAACATCTTCGCCGTCGGTATTCGATGAAAAGAACTAACCCAGTCACCGATCCTGACCACCCGGTGGAATGGAGCAATGATTTTAATCTGTTTGAATGGCTTACGTATATGTGTTTTGGTTCAAACAGTAGAAACGGAGGGGATATGATAGCGAGGGCACGGGTGGCCCAGTCGTCTAAGGCGCCGCGATTCGCTGTGCAGAGTTGCGTCTCGTGGGCACCTAAGAAACCAATTATTGTGGGTTTGAATCCCGATTATGTTTCTAGGTTTGTCAGCACCATACCCGTGCTGGTGGGTTTCACCAAAGTGGTAAACGCCTTTACGACATCCATCGCTTCAGGCTTGTCTCCCACCTGAGTCTGAAATACTTCTCATAGCAGTGTTAAGCCAAACGTCCTATGTCACCACATGATTCCATTCTTTTTCAATTTTCTGATTTTAGCTTCTCAGTACGGACAAGGTGTGTACTTTGCCATGAGTGCCATCTACTCTTCTGACGACAAGTACTCTCCGCCAGACACCCACGGAATCAAATACATCTACCAAGCTCGGGTCCTGACAGGCAGATACACCAAGGGGAATGCCACCATGAGGGACGCTCCCCTTGTTAACCCCAAGAAATCTGTCAGGTTTAACTCCACCACTGACAACGCTTCACGGCCATCGCTGTTCACCATTTTCCGGGACACATATTCCTACCCTGAATATCTCATCTCTTTCCAACTGTCAGTGCAGCAAGAATCATAAATCAGAACTCAGGACAGCGTCAGAAGTACCAATGGTTCCCTACAAAACTCTTTATACCACTCAACTCTTCATTGGAACATTCCCATTATGTTATAACAGTGAGTGAGTGAGTGCGTTGGGTTTATGACGCTTTTAACAGTATTCCAGTTATATCACGGCGTGTCAGCTTAATGTGGGGGGAAAGCCCGAAGTGATGCAGATCTCAGGCGCTTACCGCTTCGGTGAAACCCACGAGCACATGTATGGTGCTGACAAACCTAGAAACATAATCGAGGCGAACCGGGATTCGAACCCACAATCATAGGTTTCTGGCGTGCCCAATGGACGCAACTCTGCACAGCAAAACACTGGTTACTTCCATGTCTCAATATCCCAATTATAACTGTATACAGGGGACTTCTCCGCTCACTAAGATATCAAAATATAACACTGCTCAGGTGAATGTTCTTTGTGGGCAACCTATCGAACATAGATTCGAGAACCCCTAGAGCCCTTGTCACATTTTTTATTTTCCACGTTAATATCCAAGTCTTTCAAAACCAACAGTATCTCTATAGTGAAGCTGTCATCATGGCCATCATCTGCTTATACTTGATCATTACTACCAACCCTTTTTACGGATGTATCTGCAACATGTGCTCGCTTTAGTCACGATCATGCGTTTCTTCAAGGATCATCATGTACATGTAAATGTTACGTCTTAATGGTTGTTGTCAGTTATATTCAAATCAATACTATAGGGTTGGTTGGTTGGTTGGTTGGTTGGTTTGTTGTTTAACGCCGCACTCAGCAATATTCCAGCTATATGACGGCGGTCTGTAAATGATCGAGTCTGAACCAGACAATCCAGTGATTGATATCATGAGCATCGATCCACGCAATTGGGATTGATGACATGCATCAACCAAGTCAGCGAGCCTGACCACCCGATCCCGTTAGTCGCCTTTTACGACAAGCATATTCACCTTTTACGGCAAGCATGGGTTGCTGAAGACCTAAATACTATAGGGAGAGTCTGAGTCGGTACATATGTTTCCAAAACGACCAGTGTCGAACACAATCATTTCATGTCAAGATAGACCCTCCGAGTTCAAGAGAACTCATTGTTTATTGAAATCAATGCTTAAGATTGGTCCATCATACTCAAGATATTCACCATGACATGAGTGCTCTAGCTCAGTATAGGCTAATACAATACGATGTAGCACCAGCCCTTGATGTCAGAAAATAGAAAGGAAGTTTGGGGAACTATACATGTTGTGCTGCAGAGACTATAATAGCCCAGGGCACAAGTTTATTTCACACAACACGTTCAGTAATCTGTGTCTCACTGCATTTTAACAAGTGTCAGAAGACCAATGAGCCGTTTAAACAATGAGTGTAAAATTGTCAGTTTGAACCCTCTGAATTTGCTACTACATGAGATATACAGCATCAACCACGATCAGAGCAAAGTCAGAGGTGTGCAAATGCTTTACTTCCTAAGTTCATTACTGAGAGACAACACACGTTGTTGTTGTTGTTGTTGTTGATGATGATGAATTGTTGTGCACCTTCCTGGCGCTGTTGAACAATGCATAGTAACTCAGACGTTCCGAAGTTGACTTGAAATGCCAATGTCTATTTATACTGAATAAATCCCAAATGGTATTCTTTTCGTGTTTCGAAATCATAGGAGGAAGACATATATGATGTTGGGAACGAACTTCTGTCTGTTTATCCAAGTTGAGTTAATATTCCCACTTAAATTCAAAACATCAATGTCAGAGAGTAATCAGTCTCGAATATAGGGCGTAAAGGGCACATAGTGCCATAATGTTTGTCAAAAAAGTAAGCGCCAACGAGTAATGTGTGAACACTCCATATCAAGCTCTTAGAATGGGATGGCATTGGACACCATGTTGACATACGACGTGTCATATTTAGTAAATCCCTCTGAATGTCTACTATAAAATTTCTGGAATTACGCAACAAGCAGTTTGAAAATCATATTGAAATAATAAGCTGTAAATAAAATGTGTAATTCCGTTCACAGTATTTATCTCATGTGTACATTTATCTTTAAATACCTAACACATTTGAAAAGGTAACATCGAACCTTTCTGGTGGTTGATGTTAACTACATGTTGCTTTATCATTTGGTGTCGCATCAGTGACCAAAATTATGCCCGATGCAATTCCCTATTTTGACCTGAACCACACGTTCCCGTGTACCATATTTTTAAGTGTACATTTGACTTGCGTTTGCATGTGTTTGTGATGGATAATAATAATAGGACGGCTGGGCAGGTTATTTCCACCTTTTCGCAAGCACCTAGTATCATCACTATTTGATAGTGATCCATAAACACATGCTTATGAATGAGTCGGAATCTTAAAGTGGATTTCTTATGATTATGGAAAGGGTTTTGTCACTTTTATATTTAGTATGTTTCTGGGGGCACGGGTGGCCAAGTCGTCTAAGGCGCCGCGATTCGCTGTGCAGAGTTGCGTCCCTTGGGCACGCCAGAAACCTATGATTGTGGGTTCGAATCCCGGTTCGTCCCAATTATGTTTCTAGGTTTGTCAGCACCATACCCGTGTTCGTGGGTTTCACCGAAGTGGTAAACGTCTGAAACCTGCACCGCTTCGGGCTTTCCTCCCACATTAAGCTGACACGCCGTGATATGACTGGAATACTGTTAAAAGCGGCGTTAAACCCAACTCACTAGTATGTTTCCATGTTCCAATCTTCATTGATATAGTTCTAAACACCAGAATATAGTCGGTCTTCAACATCTGCCGAAACAGATTCCATTGGTGGAAAAGGGTAAGATAGCGATGAAAATCAGTAGAGCCATCAGCAAGAGCTGGTTGTATATTCCGGGAAAAGAACGGGAAATTCGACATTATCCCTTTGTCGTAGAGCTTGCTCCATTAGCTGTCGTCATTTCAATTTCTAATACAGACCAACATATTTCACTGAATATGGTTTCTCACTTAGTTTCTTTGGATATTCGTGTAGCTTATAGCACGGGTAGGCCTACTGTGCTAAGTGGAAAGATGAAGTATAAATGTTCATTAATGTTGGCACTTTTCAAAAATATATGGTCATCTGATATCTTAATCTGAGTCCGAACGTCTCCTTTCTTCGATTTCTACGCAATTGGGATGCATCAACTAAGTCAATGAGCCTGATCACACGATGCGTTAGTTGCCTCTAACGACCACTTCTAATACGGATCGTCACGGGTAGAGGCACGCTTGGTACCATGGAACATTGGTACATTGGTACTCTGTACACATCAAAGTAGCATTCTTATACTAACTTTCCAGATATTTCTTCACGCAGTCAACCACTATCAACTCGTAAGTTTTTGTTTCGTTTAATATCACGGAATATATACATCACACAAAGGTAATACATTGATACAGATACTAACATAGCCCAATAAAGCTAAAACTGACAAAGATATAGAGGGTATCAAGCGAGTGTGTTTGGTAATGGTAAATATCCTGCAGTAGGAATAAACATTGTATTTAGAGAGCCTTGGCTATTTACCATCCCAAAACACACAGGCGTGATAACCTCTTTATCATATAATGTCATTCTTTAATTCTGTGCTTCAAATCGCTTTCCCTCTCTCACACACATTACCGAAACATTGCGAGTTTTCCTGGAATGCGCGCATTGATATTTATTACGTCACAAGGTAAGTGATGTGTCAGTCGGACAGTGACAGTTGCCAAATGAATATAGTTCTAACTGAAATCTGTTTCTTATACAGTGGCGAAACAACATATACGCAAAACAACAATTGTTTTTAATTGCCTTTCGCGGCAATCCATCGGTCTGTCCGCCAGAGTAACTGCGTTTTGTCAAAGGGAAGCTACTCTAACCCTAGTCTATGAGACGTCACGGCCACGGTCAGACGTTGTTGACAGTCAGTCTGTCCTGTCATAACGTTGAGAAGTGTAGTCAGATGTACACACAGCGACAAAACGAAACAAGGTAACAATTCAAGCACATTTCGGCCAAATCCAACTATTTTAATTTGTGGAGAAGGTTTCAAGCCACAGAGGTCTACAAGCACATATGGCTACTGATCCCGCTTGGCTAGGCCTAATTCCCTCGCAAAATTGTTTCGAAACTTATATCTCCAAAGTTGCCAAAACTTATAAAATGCCTTAGCTACGTCACAGTTAGACACTGATTTTCAGTATATTAGACTGTTCTTTTGATAATAATAGCAAGTATCCCTGTAGTTTATCCAGATTCCCGATGGTTAATTCTGACTCGATCGCCGAATGACGAGGGCGACGCTATGTTTGTTTATAAACAGTGAAAGTAGTCCCTACTTGACCTTTGATATTTGCATCTCTATCCGCATATAACCCCAACGGATATCGTTTTTATCCGTTGGCTTTTACCCTGCCGAGAAACCTACACATTATATGATAAAAAATATATCATATAAATGATATTAGGACGTGATGTTGCATTGTAAAATGTGTTGCCATTAAAGTAGATTGGCATAAATTGTTGGTAACAGATGGTAACAAACCACGTGCAACTAGTTATTAACCACAGGGGCACGGATAAGGGCCTATTTCAAATAACTCTCCATGTGCATTGTATTTTTGCTTCGTGCTGATTAATTACATAAGGTCCATTGTTCCATTGTTGTTATTGTTTGTGAAATGCCCATTAGCGCTGTGCCATCATTGTCATAAGTAACCGTTTGATATGACGTCACAAACGGTTTTATGAGAGGTCGTTCCAACACTATACTCAGTGGACTCCACGTTTGGCGAGAGATGAAACAGTACAAGCTTAAGTGACACTATTAACATTTTTCATGAATTACAGACCAAAGATGTTAGGCATTGGCGTTTCATTTGACATTCGTTAGCTACACATGGGCAGCGTTAGAGAAACGAGATGTAAGCCACGAAGCTGTGCCTCGAATCCTGTGGCAAGATGCCAGCTACACTGAATTGTGCGCTGTATGTGGATCCCTATATTTCCTGGCAAGTTAATGCAACTGTAGATGATACTGGTATTCTCCAGCAACGATCGACGTGGGTTCAGTTTCTTCATGATTGACGTGACATTAGGCCAGAAACCCTCGAGAACCTGTTGTCAAATACATCTAACAGTACCTCAGGACAGTTCAATACATGTGTTCCAAGTGCATAATGAATAATTGCGTCCAAGCTTGTGTTGACTTTACACATAAAAATGCTAGTGTCATTTGGTGCCTTTTACAATATGGTGTGGCATTTATAGTAATTAAGTCAGTTTAATAGTAATTTGAATAATTTGTGTTGAAACATCGATTTAGTTTTGTATCTGACTGTATTAATGTGGTTTATTTTTTAGAAGTTATCGAATGATGGATAATTTATTCATAAAGTATTTAATTGTTCTTATCTATCTGTTCGTGAATGTCTGTCATGCGGATCTATCTATACGTTTATAACTGAACACAGCTCAACAGCTGGGGACATAGTTAGACACTTGCTGTTTTTATCGTACCTTGCCAGCGGCTGGTTCCAGCAGGTAGGTTGTGGTTATGTGTTCTGATATTACGAGATAAACAAGATGTACTATATGTAAGAGCGCTATTCTAGAATCGATGGGGGTGTGCAGTGTGTTTTGAAAAAGAACATTTCAGAGAAACGAAATGTATGCAATGAAGTTGTGCCTCAAAGAATTGTCTGTGTCCACTTCACAGATCCTGTGAAAATCATGGTAACAGAATACGTTTCCATCCCTTTAAGACGTGAGGGGCGGTGGCGTAGCCCAGTGGTTAAAGCGCTCGTCACGCCGAAGACCCGGGTTCAAATACCCACAATGCGCGAAGCCCATTTCTGGTGTCCCACGCCCTGATATTGCTGAAATATCGCTAAAAGTGACATCAAACCATATTCACTCTCTTTAAAGAATTGTCTTCTGTACAAAGCAAACATGTTCAGTATGTTCAGCTGCGGTTAATCTTCTGCCACTGCAGTGAAGGCCAGAGGACACCATTGAGGAATATTCACAAGGAGAACATGTCGGGTAGACACATGGATGCCAGGCACAATTACAACCTTCGGAGGACCATGACACCGAAACAAATCGCAGACATGTTTAACGACTTCGCCGACGACTATGAAGAGGTATGTAATATATATGACTGCATGCTAGGCGCAAGGGAGGATTCTATTCTACAATGAAGCGGTGAGGTCTTTGCCAAACGTGTAACCAGGTTTAATGAGGCTCTTTGAGATTTTAGTGGAAAGGGCATGATCGATTGTACCTGGAAGTTGTGAAATATATATTGCGCGACATACAGGGAACGGTTGACGTCAAAGTCATCTTTCTTGTCATACAGTCTTGTGGAGAGTGTTTTGCCATACTGAATCTTTAAGCGTAGATCTAAATATTAAACACATCAGACGGTCTCACCGGTTTTGTTTGTTTGTTTGTTGTTTAACGCCACACTCAGCAATATTCCAGCTATATGACGCCGGTCTGTACATAATAGAGTCTGGACCAGACAATCCAGTGACTGACATCATGAGCATCGACCCACGCAATTGGGATCGATGACATGCATCAAACCAAGTCAGCGAGCCTGAACACCCGATCCTGTTAGTCATTGGTCTGTAGTTCGGGTGGGCGAATTAGCTGGATGGAATTTACTTTTTGATTGATATGGAACGATATCAGGTAATCGATATACCTGAAGCTTAAGTTGACCTTCTTGGCCATATTACCTTGTTTTGACTTTGCCGATCCGAACAGAAGTCCTGATTCAGACGTATAAAGAAACAGATAAGCAAGAATTGGTGCCCATTGGGATGCCTTGTTACCGGAATGTCCTACCCCCAACGTTTCCACAGATAAGGAAGTCCAGCATTTCACATACTGTTTTCAAAAATATACTTCAGATGGCATTTTGTTTTCGCTTTTTACAAATTGCCCCGAACTTCTGAAGATAGATATGTAACGTTTCGTAACAAAAGCCCCAATGGATCAAGGAATAAAGTTTTTTCCTTTAGGTTTACAATTTGGGACAGTGGTGTGCAAAGTTTTAGAATTAACAGAATTGAACCTGGTTCTTTTCTGAGATTGTGAAAATAAAAATAATCTCAAATACTTTCTCTGAAAATAAAGAAAGTCCCTCCTTGATTGTGTTTACAAATTTGAGACAAGTGATATATTAATACCATGTACATTTATGACACTAAAACACAAGGCTGACAATTTGAATATTGATATGTTGCATGAACGTATTAGTTCTTGTAGTTTGATCTTTGCCTGAACATTCTTCGTCCTACAGGTGTACAAAGGGTTAGGACTCTGCTCCCACCTACGTATTGGCGAGTACATGGCTGAAACCTACCCGGAACACCTACGGGCAGCTCTCCAAGTACTGGACGTTGGTGCCGGAACAGGATATGTCGGGGAAACGGTAAGCACCACTTGCTCCGGGAGAAGAGGCGTTTCTGTAGTATTGAACGAGTGGGTCAAGGTTATAGATGAGTTGCAACATACTTGCTGTTCCGTTTCCGGTCGCGCAAGCGCATCGTACGTGCGTCAAAAGAACACAGAAGCACACCACAGATTTCAAACTTCCCGCTGCCGTATATATACTCGTTCCGTGTTTACACATTTATCATGACTTTATACTACAAACATCTTAGTGCTGGAGACAAACATCGTTACGGAGAAAAAACATATTTGCCTGGATGGAAACCGTATATGAGCACTGGATTGACGACGTTTCCCAGTGGCCAAATTTGCAGTATGGCGATCTGTACACATATCTCATGGATTCGACTGGTTCTTTCACGAGAAAGAGTCTGCGATGTTTTCAATCACTTGAGGCCTAAACTTTGTTTGAAAGTGGATCAGTTTACCCGTGTCTCATCAGGTTCAACCCTTCACATACCAAGTGCATAATTAAGGTAAGTCATCAAAATGAATATTTTTATCTGTTTCATCATCTGAACAAGCAATGTATATCTTTACAATCGTGGCACCTAATTCTGTGCGGCACCTTTGTACGTGTTTTCCATGGGCAGTGTACTCTTAATCCATAGTTTCTAAATGTGTAAACAAGAATAAAATGTTATTTAGAAACCACAGAATATTTAATATATATTCAGCAAGTCGCATGAATGTCTGTAGCAGATGTTGATTAATTTTGTTTTTCAGACAGACGCCCACTGAAGCATAAGCTGGTATTGATAAGAGCCCAAGCTGTGACAAAAGCCCCATGATGCATGGGCTGGTCTTGAGAGAGACAAAGCTATGACAGACGCCCACTGAAGCATGAGCTGGTCTTGATAAGAGCCCAAGCTGTGACAAAAGCCCCATGATGCATGGGCTGGTCTTGAGAGAGACAAAGCTATGACAGACGCCCACTGAAGCATGAGGTGGTCTTGATAAGAGCCCAAGCTGTGACAAAAGCCCCACGATGCATGGGCTGGTCTTGATAAGAGCCCAAGCTATGACAGGAGCCCCATGATGCATTGGCTGGTCTTGATAAGAGCCCAAGCCGTGACAGGAGCCCCATGAAGCATGAGTAGGTCTTGATAAGAGCCCAAGCTACGACAGAAGCCCCATGAAGCATGGGCTGGTCTTGATAAGAGACCAAGCTATGACAGAAGCCCCTTGAAGCATGGGATGGTCTTGATAAGAGCCCAAGCTATGACAAAAGCCCCATGAAGCAAGGGATGGTCTTGATAAGAGCCCAAGCTGTGACAAAAGCCCCATGAAGCATGGGATGGTCTTGATAAGAGCCCGAGCTGTGACAGAAGCCCCATGAAGCAAGGGATGGTCTTGATAAGAGCCCAAGCTATGACAGAAGCTCCATGAAGCATGGGGTGGTCTTGATAAGAGCCCAAGCTATGACAGAAGCCCCATGAAGCATGGGATGGTCTTGATAAGAGACCAAGCTGTGACAGAAGCCCCATGAAGCATAGGCTGGTCTTGATAAGAGTCCAAGCTGTGACAAAAGCCCCATGAAGCATGGGTTGGTCTTGATAAGAGCCCCAAAAATGACATAAGCCACATAAAGCAAGGGCTTGTCTTGATAGGAGCCCGAGCTATGACAGAAGCTCCATGAAGCATGGGATGGTCTTGATAAGAGCCCAAACTATGACAGAAGCCCCATGAAGCATGGGATGGTCTTGATAAGAGCCCAAGCTGTGACAAAAGCCCCATGAAGCAAGGGATGGTCTTGATAAGAGCCCGAGCTGTGACAGAAGCCCCATGATGCATGGGATGGTCCTCTTGATAAGAGCCCAAGCTATGACAGAAGCTCAATGAAGCATGGGATGGTCCTCTTGATAAGAGCCCAAGCTATGACAGAAGCTCCATGAAGCATGGGATGGTCTTGATAAGAGCCCAAGCTGTGACAAAAGCCCGATGATGCATGGGATGGTCTTGATAAGAGCCCAAGCTGGGACAGAAGACCCATGAAACATGGGATGGTCTTGATAAGAGCCCAAGCTGTGACAAAAGACCCATGAAGCAAGGGATGGTCTTGATAAGAGCCCGAGCTGTGACAGAAGCCCCATGATGCATGGGATGGTCCTCTTGATAAGAGCCCAAGCTATGACAGAAGCTCAATGAAGCATGGGATGGTCCTCTTGATAAGAGCCCAAGCTATGACAGAAGCTCCATGAAACATGGGATGGTCTTGATAAGAGCCCAAGCTGTGACAAAAGCCCGATGATGCATGGGATGGTCTTGATAAGAGCCCAAGCTGGGACAAAGGCCCTATGAAGCATGGGATGGTCTTGATAAGAGCCCAAGCTGTGACAGAAGCCCCATGAAGCAAGGGATGGTCCTAATAAGAGCCCGAGCTGTGACAGAAGCCCCATAAAGGAAGGGCTTGTCTTGATAAGAGCCCAAGCTATGACAGAAGTTCCATGAAGCATGGGATGGTCTTGAGAAGAGCCCAAACTATAACAGAAGCCTCATGAAGCATGGGATGGTCTTGATAAGAGCCCAAGCTGTAACAAAAGCCCTATGAAGCATGGGCTGGTCTTGATAAGAGCCCAAGCTGTGACATAAGCCCCATGAAGCAAGGGATGGTCTTGATAAGAGCCCGAGCTGTGACAGAAGCCCCATGATGCATGGGATGGTCCTCTTGATAAGAGCCCGAGCTATGACAGAAGCTCCATGAAGCATGGGATGGTCTTGATAAGAGCCCAAGCTGTGACAAAAGCCCGATGATGCATGGGATGGTCTTGATAAGAGCCCAAGCTGGGACAAAGGCCCTATGAAGCATGGGATGGTCTTGATAAGAGCCCAAGCTGTGACAGAAGCCCCATGAAGCAAGGGATGGTCCTAATAAGAGCCCGAGCTGTGACAGAAGCCCCATAAAGGAAGGGCTTGTCTTGATAAGAGCCCAAGCTATGACAGAAGTTCCATGAAGCATGGGATGGTCTTGAGAAGAGCCCAAACTATAACAGAAGCCTCATGAAGCATGGGATGGTCTTGATAAGAGCCCAAGCTGTAACAAAAGCCCTATGAAGCATGGGCTGGTCTTGATAAGAGCCCAAGCTGTGACAAAAGCCCCATGAAGCATGGGCTGGTCTTGATAAGAGCCCAAGCTGTGACATAAGCCCCATGAAGCAAGGGATGGTCTTGATAAGAGCCCAAGCTGTGACATAAGCCCCATGAAGCATTGGCTGGTCTTGATAAGAGGCCAAGCTGTGACAGAAGCCCCATGAAGCATGGGCTGGTCTTGATAAGAGCCCAAGCTGTAAAAGAAGCCCCATGAAGCATGGGCTGGTCTTGGTAAGAGCCCAAGCTATGACAGAAGCCCCGTCAAGCAAGGGCTAGTCTTGATAAGAGTGCCAGGGCGGAATGTGCACCCTGGACATGCATGGCAGGGTATGATGGCATTAGATTAGTTTTATTTATTTTTTTATGAATAAGTGGTTTTTTTTACATATAATAATCTGTTGTAATAAATAAATAAATTTGGTTACAACAAAGATTCCTGTACACCCATGCTCTGTTCCTGGAACCAAACATTCACAAAGAAGGTAATATGAAAAATATGAAAATTGGAAGAACGCAATTGATTTTAAACAAAATTAAATCCCATGTCCTTCATCACGTTTTAAGCACATTGATAATGGAAGTTTAGAAATTGTTCATTGTTGAATTGCATTAATGATCTATAAAAAATCATTTAGAATATTTGCAAATGTTTCTCAAGACAGGAAAGTTTGAAAACATGTCATTATTTTAAAACTGTGTAATGTGATTTTTTAACTTAAATGTGAAATTTATTTCAGCAACTGTATGTAGGAACATGTTTTAGGTTGATCTAGCTTTGGTGGAAGACATAAACTTCTCCAACGTCAAGAAGGTACACTTGGCACAACCTCTGGCCTGGAGACAACCCTGCAGTCAAATTTGAGGATAGTTCCAGTCTTTTATAAAAATTTAGAAAAAGTGTGTAAAATGCATAAAGTATGAATAATACAATACAATGTATGCACATCAATGCTTAAGAAGCGACTGACGGGGTCAGGTGGTCAGGCTCGATGACTTGGTCGGTGCATGTCATTGTATCCCAATTGCGTAGATCAATGCTCATGATATCAATCACTGGATTGTCTGGTCCAGACTCAATTACTTACAGAACGCCGTCTTATACCTGAAATATTGCTGAGTGTAGAGATAAACAACAAACAAATGTACATCAATGCATTTGTAATGTTACTTTCCATTTTTGGAACCCTTCCAAAAAGCCAAAGTACGCTCAATTAAATATTCAACTTCATCAATAATTTTTTTCCATTTGTCAGCCAATATATTCATGAATATATTATTACACATCGATAATTCTTTGATAAGAGCCCGAGCTATGACAGAAGCTCCATGAAGCATGGGATGGTCTTGATAAGAGCCCAAACTATGACAGAAGCCCCATGAAGCATGGGATGGTCTTGATAAGAGCCCAAGCTGTGACAAAAGCCCCATGAAGCAAGGGATGGTCTTGATAAGAGCCCAAGCTACGACAGAAGCTCCATGAAGCATTGGCTGGTCTTGATAAGAGCCCAAGCTGGGACAGAAGCCCCATGAAACATGGGATGGTCTTGATAAGAGCCCAAGCTGTGACAAAAGCCCCATGAAGCAAGGGATGGTCTTGATAAGAGCCCGAGCTGTGACAGAAGCCCCATGATGCATGGGATGGTCCTCTTGATAAGAGCCCAAGCTATGACAGAAGCTCAATGAAACATGGGATGGTCCTCTTGATAAGAGCCCAAGCTATGACAGAAGCTCCATGAAGCATGGGATGGTCTTGATAAGAGCCCAAGCTGTGACAAAAGCCCCATGAAGCAAGGGATGGTCTTGATAAGAGCCCGAGCTACGACAGAAGCTCCATGAAGCATTGGCTGGTCTTGATAAGAGCCCAAGCTGTGACAGAAGCCCCATGAAACATGGGATGGTCTTGATAAGAGCCCAAGCTGTGACAAAAGCCCCATGAAGCAAGGGATGGTCTTGATAAGAGCCCGAGCTGTGACAGAAGCCCCATGATGCATGGGATGGTCCTCTTGATAAGAGCCCAAGCTATGACAGAAGCTCAATGAAGCATGGGATGGTCCTCTTGATAAGAGCCCAAGCTATGACAGAAGCTCCATGAAGCATGGGATGGTCTTGATAAGAGCCCAAGCTGTGACAAAAGCCCGATGATGCATGGGATGGTCTTGATAAGAGCCCAAGCTGGGACAAAGGCCCTATGAAGCATGGGATGGTCTTGATAAGAGCCCAAGCTGTGACAGAAGCCCCATGAAGCAAGGGATGGTCCTAATAAGAGCCCAAGCTGTGACAGAAGCCCCATAAAGGAAGGGCTTGTCTTGATAAGAGCCCAAGCTATGACAGAAGTTCCATGAAGCATGGGATGGTCTTGAGAAGAGCCCAAACTATAACAGAAGCCTCATGAAGCATGGGATGGTCTTGATAAGAGCCCAAGCTGTGACAAAAGCCCCATGAAGCATGGGCTGGTCTTGATAAGAGCCCAAGCTGTGACATAAGCCCCATGAAGCAAGGGATGGTCTTGATAAGAGCCCAAGCTGTGACATAAGCCCCATGAAGCAAGGGATGGTCTTGATAAGAGCCCAAGCTGTGACATAAGCCCCATGAAGCATTGGCTGGTCTTGATAAGAGGCCAAGCTGTGACAGAAGCCCCATGAAGCATGGGCTGGTCTTGATAAGAGCCCAAGCTGTAAAAGAAGCCCCATGAAGTATGGGCTGGTCTTGGTAAGAGCCCAAGCTATGACAGAAGCCCCGTCAAGCAAGGGCTAGTCTTGATAAGAGTGCCAGGGCGGAATGTGCACCCTGGACATGCATGGCAGGGTATGATGGCATTAGATTAGTTTTATTTATTTTTTTATGAATAAGTGGGTTTTTTTACATATAATAATCTGTTGTAATAAATAAATAAATTTGGTTACAACAAAGATTCCTGTACACCCATGCTCTGTTCCTGGAACCAAACATTCACAAAGAAGGTAATATGAAAAATATGAAAATTGGAAGAACGCAATTGATTTTAAACAAAATTAAATCCCATGTCCTTCATCACGTTTTAAGCACATTGATAATGGAAGTTTAGAAATTGTTCATTGTTGAATTGCATTAATGATCTATAAAAAATCATTTAGAATATTTGCAAATGTTTCTCAAGACAGGAAAGTTTGAAAACATGTCATTATTTTAAAAAAGGTACACTTGGCACAACCTCTGGCCTGGAGACAACCCTGCAGTCAAATTTGAGGATAGTTCCAGTCTTTTATAAAAATTTAGAAAAAGTGTGTAAAATGCATAAAGTATGAATAATACAATACAATGTATGCACATCAATGCTTAAGAAGCGACTGACGGGGTCAGGTGGTCAGGCTCGATGACTTGGTCGGTGCATGTCATTGTATCCCAATTGCGTAGATCAATGCTCATGATATCAATCACTGGATTGTCTGGTCCAGACTCAATTACTTACAGAACGCCGTCTTATACCTGAAATATTGCTGAGTGTAGAGATAAACAACAAACAAATGTACATCAATGCATTTGTAATGTTACTTTCCATTTTTGGAACCCTTCCAAAAAGCCAAAGTACGCTCAATTAAATATTCAACTTCATCAATAATTTTTTTTCATTTGTCAGCCAATATATTCATGAATATATTATTACACATCGATAATTCTTTGATAAGAGCCCGAGCTATGACAGAAGCTCCATGAAGCATGGGATGGTCTTGATAAGAGCCCAAACTATGACAGAAGCCCCATGAAGCATAATATATTATTACACATCGATAATTTTGTTTGTAAGCGCTTGTGTTGTAGCTCTTGTATGGAAATAATGGTATTCATCACCTCTCATTTCTTAGTTTGTTTATATATAGACAAACGCTGAATAAATCTTGATAACATCAACATTGCCTTATTTTTATCATTATGTTTATCATGTCAACTGAAATTGATCATCTGTCCTAATAGTATTGAGATTTACAATTTTTACAATCAAACCTGTGGATTTGGCAAATGTTACAGCACTCAGCACACCTTCATTACCAATACTTATGTTATATACATGCATATAAATGTGTATTAGACCCGTGAAGATTCCGGGGTAGAATAGGTCTTCAGCAACCCATGCTTGTCATAAAAGGCGACTAACGGGATCGGGTGGTCAGGCTCGCTGACTTGGTTGATGCATGTCGTCGATCCCAATTGCGCGGATCGATGCTCATGATGTCAATCACTGGATTGTCTGGTCCAATGGTAAATGCTGAGTCTTTGCGGATCTGCAACTCATCTGTATATTGATAGATCTTAAACACCCAAAAAAACTTTTTAGGATATAATGGCTCTTGTTTCAGCTGTCCGAGTTGGGTTTTAAGCGAATTGATGCACTGGACCCAGCACAAAAAATGCTTGATGTTGCGAAAACTAAAAAAGTCTACAGAAGATTGATCTGCGCCTTCCTGAACAAGAACAGGATTGATGAAATTGAGACAGGTACGTTCAGGAAAGTGTTTTTAAATCTTTCTCTGTTTGTTGTTTAACGCCGCACTCACCTATATGACACCGGTCTGAAAATAATCGAGTGTGGACCAGACAATCCAGTGATTGATCCACGCAATTGGGATACGATGACATGCATCAACCAAGCCAGCGAGCCTTACTATCCGATTCCGTTATGAAGAATATTTTCCCAATGAAGGGAAATTTCTAAATGCATACGATGTCCAGTTTCTGCTTGAATAAACCTTCAACATCTTTCCCTGAATAACATCTGACCCGTGAAGATTCCGGGGTAGAATAGGTCTTCAGCAACCCATGCTTGCTGTAAAAGGCGACTATGCCTGTCGTAAAAGGCGACTAACGGGATCGGTTGGTCAGGCTCGCTGACTTGGTTGATGCATGTCATCGATCCCAATTGCGTGGATCGATGCTCATGATGTCAATCACTGGATTGTCTGGTCCAGACTCGATTATTTACAGACCGCCGTCATATAGCTGGAATGTTGCCTAGTGCTGCGTTAGACAACAAACCAATCCAAAATCAAAACTGAACAACATCTGGCGCGCGGCCACCCTAACTGTAACCGGTTCGTTTTCCGGCTGTGAAAGTAGCCGTCTATCTGTTTTCAGACCAATATGATTGCATCACTGCTGCAGGGGCGTTTAATGAAGGTCTCATTCCTGTCAGTGCATTCCAGGAGATGATCAGAATCGTCAAGCCAGGTGGGTGTTCCTCCTTTAACTGAGTTAGCCAGAAAGCAGTTTAAACCAAGGTTACAGATCAGTCACTACATCAACATTAAGAATCCCATCCCTCAATACACAATAAGTTATCGTCTCCAGGTCATACAAGAGGCTAGCCACTGCAGACCAATCATGCATCACTGACATCTTGCCATGCAGATCTTGTCGTTGCGGTGTTGACTGGATTGCTGAGTTGAGCACTGGTGTTGGCTGGTTCACTGAATGGGTTTTCACATTTCCGCGAACTGTCTAACTTGACTGGCTTTCCATTATCAGCTGATGTTAGGACGAGATGCTTGCGATTTCTATACACAACTCTTCCCTCCTTCAGGAGATGATCAGAATCGTCAAGCCAGGTGGGTGTTCCAAGCGAGCCTGACCACCCCATCCCGTTCGTTGCCTTTTACGACAAGCATAGTCGCCTTTTACGGCAAGAAAGGCGACTATGCCAAGAATCCCATCCCTCAATGCACAATGAATTATCGTCTCCAGATCATACAAGAGGCTAGCCTCTGCATACCAATAATGGCAACTGTGTTGGTTGAAGGTTTGATGTGTTTTTTGTAACTTATAAGCAGCAGAATCTCTGCACCCTGCAGAGGTAATTCAAAGTTAACAATAAATTGTCTTTAGTTTCAACATGACCCGTGAAGATTCAGGGGTAGAATAGGTCTTCAGCCGCTGAACCCATGCTTGCCGTAAAAGGTGACTATGCTTGTCGTAAAAGGCGACTAACGGGATCGGGTGGTCAGGCTCGCTGACTTGGTTGATGCATGTCATCGATCACAATTGCGTGGATCGATGCTCATGATATTAATCACTGGATTGTCTGGTCCAGACTCGATTATTTACAGACCGCTGTCATATATATAGCTGGAATATTGCTGAGTGCGGTTTGTTGTTTTACGCCGCACTCAGCAATATTCCAGCTATATGACGGCGGTCTGTAAATATTCACGTCTGGGCCAGACAATCCAGTGATTGATATCATGAACATCGATTCACGCAATTGGGATGATGAATACTGAATGTTACTTGAAATAGATAGCATCTGTGCAATCAGCATTTAAAGTCAAATCAAATTACTTAAACACATTTAACACAAAGTGAAACTTCACAGAACCATAAATCCAGTCGTTTTGGTTTCACTGACATCCTGCCAGATCTTGGCGTTACGCTGTTGACTGGATTGTTTACATGATATCAATCACTGGATTGTCTGGTCCAGACTCGATTATTTACAGACCGTCGTCATATAGCTGGAATATTGCTGAGTGCGGCGTTAAACAACAAACCAACCAACTTGAGCACTGGTGTTGGCTGGTTCACTGAATGGGTTTTCACATTTCCGCGAACCTGTCTAACTTGATTTTAGGACGAGATGCTTGCGATGTCTACGCACAACTCTTCCCTCCGTTTCCACGTGAAGATTCCGGGGTAGAATAGGTCTTCAGCAACCCATGCTTGCCGTAAAAGGTTACTTTGCTTGTCGTAACGGGATCGGGTGGTCAGGCTCGCTGACTTGGTTGATGCATGATCGATTGCGTAGATCGATGCTCATGATATTAATCACTGGATTGTCTGGTCGCGATTCGATTATTTACAGACCGCCGTCATATATATATATATATATATATATATATATATATGTGATATTGCTGAGTGCGGCGATAAACAACAAACCAACCAACCAACGTTTCCACGTTTTATGAACAAGGGGCTTCATCCTCGCTCTGAACTAAACCTTGTTTAGTTACGTTAGCATCTTTCACAAACACATGCTCACCTGGTTTGAGTGGTTGAAGATCTCGAGCTCGGTGTCTCAGATCAAAACCTTCTTTCTGTTTGACTCGCCGTTGTTCATCTTCCTCCCTGAATTTATCGAAGTTAAGCTGCTTTGGCTTGTGCTGACTTTTGCGAGTAGGAAAATTTGAGCGGTGTTGTCTCCCCATGAGGAGTTCTGCAGGACTGTGTCCGCCCACAAGAGGAGTAGATCTGTAAGCAAGCAGACCTAAATAAACATCGGATGACTTCTGGAGTAGATTTTTTACTATGCGAACTCTATGCTCGTCCTCATAATTACCTTGTGGATAATGAGGGCTACTTGTAAGATGAATGTTTTGAAGTTCTGGGATGAATACTATGGACCATTGTCAGATATCACAATGTCTGGAATTCCATGACGTGCAAAGATCGATTTTAGTTAACTGATGACGCTTGCAGATGTTGTACTGATAACTTGGCGACAACACGTACATATTGTTTGTTTGGAAGTCAAATCAATCTGTACCGACTTTCATCCATGAACGATCTGGAAGTTCTGAAGGAATAAATGGTTCGGTTGAATTTGATCTTTCTTTGGCACACACTTGACAGTTTTGGACTTTTTATACAGAATATCTCGCGAATGCTCTGCATTTTGTTATCCCCTGATATCCTTCACATAGGCAATCTAATACACTGGATCTCATTTCTTCAGGTGTGACAATTCTCTGTCCATACATTAACAGTCCATCAATTGCTGTGACATCACCTCGGTGAGTCCAATATTGTCGAGAGTAGATTATTTACAGACAGCCGTCATATAGCTGGAATATTGCTGAGTGCAGCGTTAAACAATAAATCAATCATCTGAGTAGGAAGTTTGTGCAATGAAGGCCATCCATCTATGCAGTATTGAATGAGCAAATGACAGTTGTCATCTTGTAGTTGTTGTCGCTTTATCTCATGTATCTTTTGCTGAGACGCTAGCAGACCCGACATCACAGAATCTGCATAGAGGTTGACATCATGTAGAGTTGAGTTTCACTCTTGTTTTCTTCCAACTTGAGTGGTGCACATGAAAGGGCATCTGCAGAGTACATGTATTTCACTGGAACAAGCCATCAATCGCAAATGTTGATGCTGAATTCTGGGTGGAGGTTCTTCCAGGTTCTTGGAGCTAAACAGCGGAATCAAAGGTCTGTGATCCGCCTGAATTGTGAACTGCTGTCCAATCAGAAAGTCTCTGAATCTCTCACAACCCCACGTGATACCAAGCTTCCTTCTCAATGTGTGTGTATCTCTGTTCTGTCACTGGAAGCGATCTAGATGCATATGCAACTGGTCTGAGAGAATTATCCTTTTGCTTCTGCAGTAACACTGCTCCAAGTCCAAAAGATGAAGCATCTGTGGAAACTACAGTTGTTGCACTTGGGTTGTAGTGGGCTAACACTGGTGATATACAGAGTTTCTGCTTTATTCGATAGAAGGAAGTTTGTTGAGGTTCATTTCAAACCCATATGTTGTCTCAGTGGTTTGGTATCATCCGCAATATTTGGAAGAAACTTTGCTAACTGGTTCATCATTCCTAAGGAATGTTCCGCCAAATCTTGTATAGCGTTGATTTTCGTTCAATCAGCTTGAACACCATGACTGTCGATGATGTGACCAAGGAATCTCACAGAGTAAGTTGAGAAGACGCATTTGTCATTGAGAGTGACTCCAGCTTCTTGTAGTCTCTGTAAGGTTGCTTCTAATCTTTTGTCGTGTTCTGCCTGTGTTGAACCGTAGATCAGTGTGTCATCCATCTGACATATAGTTCCTTCTAATCCTCCTAATCCTTCTAATCCTTCTAATATCTGACTGATCCTCTTCTGGAAATGTTCAGGTCCCAAACGGAAGATGCTTGAATCTAAACCTTACAAACAGTGTTATGAAAGTGGTTAGAAGTGAAGTTTTCTTCGCAATTTGCTGAAACCCAAAGTTGGCTTCCAATTTGGTGAAGTATTGAGCACCACTCAGTTGACTGATTGTTTGATCTACAACTGGCATTGAATGATTTTCTCGAGGAACTGATTCATTCAATTTGGTCAGATAGCCACAAATTCTCACAGATCCTGAGGCTTTAGGTACAGCAACAACACCTGCACACCAGTCGTCAACACGTGAGATTACACCGGTCCTCCCCATGTTCTCGAGTTCTTTCTTCACCTTCCTTAACGTTTTTACCACATATAAAATGTCTGAAGGCAATTGACTTGTTGAAAATTGTTTCTCATTCAAAATGGGGAGGGGATCAGACAACCCTCCTTTATTTATATTGATCTCTTATCCGTTCCAAACTCGATTATGGCTCCATCTTTTATGGTGCCTGCAAAAGCAACTTACAATTATTAGATTCAGTACATCATCAAGGCCTGAGACTTTGTCTTGGAGCCTTTAGAACATCACCAGTTGATAGCTTATATGTAGAGGCCGATGAGCCATCTCTAAAACAACGTCGAATCAAACTTTCGTTACAATTTGTGATTAAATTATACTGAAGCATATGATTGTGTGTGTTTAATCCCTTGTACGACAAATTATTTCAATCAAAACCAAAACTTGGTTCACCTCTAGGGTTCAGAATTAAGCCACACATTATTTCAGCTAATATTGATCTTTCTGCTATCTCTACTTTCTACTACTTCCCAGTTACTGTCTACACCTCTTCGGCAACTAGTTAAACCAGAGGTAGACCTCTAACACTAACTACCTTAAAAAAATCTGACACAAACCCATTGGTATATCAACAAGAATATGCCCAATTAAGGTCCAAATGTGATTCTCATAGCTCTATTTGTACCGATGCTTCCAAGGATGGTGGCAAAGTTTCAAGTGCCACTGTCATTGGATCTAAAATGGTGTCTTCGAGAATTCCAGGTAATAGTTCTATTTTTACAGCTGAGGCCAATGCTACATCAAAAACCAATAATCTCAACAGTTCATCATCTTTTCTGATTCCTTGTCATGCCTTCAGGCAATACACAATTGTTCTTCCAATCATCCGTAAATACTTCATATTTTAGAATTGCATACTGTTCTTGCAATTGCCCAATACGACATCGTCTTTTGCTGGTTTCCCAGTCATGTTGAAATCGCTGGTAACACTATGGCTGATACTGCCGCAAAGGCAGCACTCATTAAATCAGTTAGATCACTTTTTTTTACCATACGGTGATTACAAGCCAATTAATAGATGCTACATCAAAGATTTAATGCAAAAGAAGTGGAACATCCAAGTAGGTATAAACAAACTTTATGCTATAAAACAAACAATAGGGTTGCCATTCGAGACATGACGAAGTTGTTTTGCGACTATGTCGTATTGGACACAGTCGATATACCCATGAGTATCTTTTAAAAGGTGGGGATCCTCCTGTCTGTGTCCCTTGAGATGAGAGAATCACAGTCAAGCATCTTGAATTTTTTCTCATAAGGGATAACTATTATCATTCAACATCTTTAAAAGATCTTTTTTTTTATAATATCAGTGCTCATTAATTCTCGTTTTTTTAAGGAAAACTATTATTTGATAAACTTTGAATTGTTTTAGAATAGTTGGATATTATTGTCAACTGAAATGTATGAAGGTGGTGCCAATGATGGGGTTAATGTAGTGTAAAATCATTGTCCCCCTGACAGTGGCACGTGAGTCCATCTATATTGACATAATTAATATCAACTAGTGTTTTTATTCCTTGATTGTGTTTTGATTTTTTAAAAATGGTTAACTTTGCGAACAACTACTCGTGACCAAAGCGATGGCATAAATCCTGCTGGGAATCATGCAGGAAGCAAAAGCCCTGTAAGTCCCCATGATCCCAGGTTAGGTGGTCTAGCTTTGGTTGCCAGGGGTCTATAGCCTGTTGTCACTTTCTTATATCTAATTAACTGAAAACCTCTTTCTTTCAATATTGCTCAGGTATGTTTTATGTCTACACTGTGATATTTACCTTATTGTTTTACTGTCCTTTGTCGACAGGAATTTTATAATAACTTGTTCTCATCTATGGCTGCAATATTGCCTATGCGATGTAAAATCATAACTAACTCACTCACGGTATACCAGGAGTCATCAGTGAAGCTCCTTTGAGGTGAGACATACTCTACAGATCCAAGAAATGCATAATAACTGTCATTTTCCTCTGTCAGCACTTCAACATTACTTACTGCATACCGCTTCTAACTTGTTTGTGAGGTATTTGCAGGCTGGTTTAAAGCACATGTCCCTTTTTCTGACATTTTCTTCAGGTTTAAAATACAGCTGGACAATCTTCCTTCTGTGTTGAGATTTACCGCATCTGTGACATGGTTGAGACTTGTGGTGGTTCGTCCACTTCATATTCTTGTGATATTTGAAGTTACCTCCCTTTATCGCCACAACGTTTGCCGTAGCATTTTCCATTTCACACGCTGTATTTCGGACCACTGGTTGTTGCCTTTTCACAGTTTCAGATTGCCTGGCCATCTTGAAAATTTTTCAAGTGTTAGTTCACTATAAAGCTGTAGTCGTTCAGATAGACCAGTATCTCTTATTCCAACCATTATCCTGTCACGATTAAGATCATCCTGTAGTGTTCCATATGCATAATGATCAGCCAGATCATAGAGCGCAGTGATGAAGCTATCTACAGTTTCACCTGGTTCCTGTACACTCTTGTTAAACTTAGCTTGTTCAGAGATAACTTATCTTCCAACAGTGAAAACGTTCGAAAAGTGAGTTTTCACAACATCAAAATCAGCCACTTGTTCGTTAAGTCTGAATGTAGCTAATATGCCTCCAGCCGCTTCCCCCACAGAATAAACAAGTGTTGAGACTTGCAAATTACCATCTTTAGTGTTCAGTCTTGATGCAATTCTAAAGCGAACAAATCTCTTTATCAATTTTGGCCACTCATCAGGCTGCTTGATATTGAAACAGATCAGGTGGAGAACTTGTAATGTATGATGAAAGTATAACGGCACCATGAAATAAGTTAACAGCTTCCGTAATCCTCAGTAATTGTGATTGCAAACTAGGATCTGCTTATGGCTTCAATTTATCAGTCAAAATGTTCACTGAACCTAGCATGTGAGTTTAAACATTAGCACTATCACTGGCTATTCACCTCAAAATTTTGGCAAAATACCAAATTCTAGTCCATTAAAATTTCATTAAATAGCTCACTCAATCTCTGTAGATTCAGTTCAGACTTCTGACACCATGTTATATCTAAGATTGAGGCCGGATGGCTTCACATTAGGTTTCTTACAGAAGGCGGCCATGTTCTTTTCTTGTGACCATCTCATCATGACATCATCAGTCCATGAGTACACTGATGACTATGTTGATGCTACACTGAAGACCTATTCTCTCCCCGAATTTTAACGGGTCTCAAGGTTATATGAGTAGATAGAACAATGTCATTTGCAGCATGTGAACTAATTTACGTACAATTGCACATTTACTTCACACCATGGATTGTCCCTTTCAGGAGGAAGAATTATATTCACGATTACCGATAAATACATCGCCAACACCGACGGCTACAGAAAGGAGCTACTTCCCTTCATCCAGAAGATGGCGGATGAGGGTGCGTGGGATATAACGGCAGTTCCTCTTGCTGATGGCGCAATTCATCGACCGGACGGACCTGGGATGCTGTATAGTTTCAAAGTAAACGTGACTGAGAAACATCTTTAGATCACGAGTGGGCATCTGAATGGCATTGAGTCTTTATATTGCTTTATGGATACACCGACCGAAAATTGCATAAACTTAAGACTAGGAAACCATTTGGCTTTGTCACCACCCAACCGGCGATTAACTTCAGAAATCCCTAGTACTTTTTGTCAACCACGGACACTTTGGTTTGAGAAAGCCGTAGGGGAGGTCGGGTAGCCTAGTGGTTAAAGCGTTCACTCATCATGCAGAAGACCCGGGTTCGAGATATTGCTGGAATATTGCTAAAAGCAGCGTAAAACCATACGCACTCACTCACTCACCAGAAAGCCGTAAAGCAAATTAATAGACAACAAGACCTTCTAGTGTCTGCTGCAGGACACTGGGTGGTAATACTGTATAATGCACAAAAACTGGTATGTTGACATCATCCGAGAGCCTTTCACACACATGTAAATCTTCACATATTCCCAATGAATGAAGACGAAATATTTCCAAATATTCTGTCTAATGAACAAATAAAGTTTTTGTTTACTTAATAAATTGATGGTAGATAACTTTGTTTTCCTTATTCATTCACATGTACATACAATTCCAAATGCCACACGTTCCTTGTTCACGTTCCCAATCAATCCCAACGTTGAAAAGAGCCATCTTATGTTACGCAGGTTGTAAGGGTTTTGCGGTTTCGAGGTGAAACTGCAGGAAAATACACCAATGTCTGGCAATGAAAGTAAGTGATTGATGTGCTACGAAAATTTTCGAAGAAAGATTGTGACAGTCATGAAGCACGTGACCAGTGCCATCGTATGCCAGTTTTACCATGGTCACTCAGACACGGTTGTGAGCAGACGCATACTGTTTTCTTGGATCCAAACGCTCAAAGAAACAATGGTGTATGAGCACCTGCCCAGACGGTGATAAATCGTCTGCACAGTTGGCATTTGTGTGCAGGACGCCATGGACGTCATCGGAATCAGAGGCGTCACTGGTTTAGGGAACGTCAGCACATGAGTCAAGCTGACATTGGTCGACTCATCAGAAGCATGCCTCGAAGAGTTCGTGCATATCTGGCCAACAGAGGTCTTACCCAGAATTGGTGACGTTGCCTGCAAAATACAAATTTTGAATTTGATCCCAGACCTCTTTAACGACCTTGTGCGCCAGCATCTAACCATACCACTCCCCGGCGGATATGATCATAGCATTTCCATTTGCCAGTACGATATAGATCAGAAGATATGTTTTGATGGTTCCCACTATCCCCTACTTGGCATAGTAAATATTCATTAACACCGGACCTGTTCCACAAAGCGATCTTATCGCTAAGACTCCAATACTTGAACATAGGCCTGTGGCAATCGTAGCGCTATGATCACTCTGTGGAACAGGGCTAGATGAGCTAAAACGAATATAATAACTTCACCTGTGTTTGGTCGAATCCAGACGGGTTGTAACAATAAGCACAACAGTTCGGTGAGTGAGTGAGTTATAACGCTGCAGTCAGTTGATGGAACTAATTCAGTTGAGGGACACATCACCCAATACAACCTTGTGACTTGGGACCTATTCTGTCCCGGAATCCTGAGAGGGAATTGGCACAAATAAATTATTGAGGTCATGTTTGTTTGTTGTGTAACTCACTCCACACTCAGCAATATTCCAGCTATATGAGGGTCGGCTGTAAATAATCGAGTCTGGACTAGACAATCCAGTGATTGACACCATCAGCATCGATCCACGCTGTCTTGGGACACGATGACATGCATCAACCAAGTAAGCGAGCCTGTCCACCCGATCCCGTTAGTCTCCTTTAACGGAAATCATGGGTTGCTGAAGACCTATTCTAACCCGGATCTTCACGGGTTTTGAGGTCAAGTAGTTAAAATTAACAAGCTAAGTATGTTGTCATTCGTTTGATTATTTGTTTGGGATGTGTCTCTTTGTTTATTAGTTTGTTTGTTGTTTAACGGCGCATTAAGCAACATTCTAGATATATGACGGCGGGCTGTAAATAATCAAATCCTGACCAGACATTATATGCAATCATCTGGATTGACATCATAAGCAATGATCCACGCAATTGGGATATGATGACATGCATCAGCCAAGTCAGCGAGCATGGCCACCCGGGTTGCTATGGCCCAGTTCTAACGCAGATCTCCACAGGGGCATGTGTAACATAATTCTAGTAGCATGTCTCTTGCGACATTGTCACAAATGTCATCATATGTGAACCAAGAGGGTGTGAACTGAATCTGACAAAACTGTACCTTAAAGCTTTGTGTTTATCTAGGGAGAATGTGTTTGGTATCAGTGTCTGCTGAGAACATTGGGTTAACTTTTTAATCGATTATTATAATGCCAAGCATCCATTGTATACTTCAAGGAGACATTACAGGAGTAGACTGTTGTCTATCTTATAGCTCTCTGATATCGTATCTCAGGTGTTAATCGATCAGATTTGTGTAATTGCTTCTTCAAGTGGGATCGCCACTATATTATAGTGTGGGTGAGTGAGTATGGTTTTACGCCGCTTTTAGCAATATTCAAGTAATATCATGGCGGTGGACACCAGAAATAGGGCTTCACACATTGTACCCATGTTGGGATTCGAACTCAGGTCTTCGGCGTGACGAGCGAACGCTTTAACCACTAGGCTACCCGACCGCCCACATTATATTGTGACAAGTCTACATTATTTGTCATAGGAATATAGAAATGTAGTAATAACGCGTCCACATTAATGCTATCCCATGCGAGACTATGTAACATATTTGATAATATGTGCCTATTTTGATATGTATTCATAGAAATGGTGTATATTATACTTTTATTTTATTAATGGGTTGCTTTAGATTTGCATATTTATATGTAAAAATCATATAGTCATGATAGCTTATTACCATCAAGAAATATATTACCAGAATAACTATCAAACATGATATATAAAGGTTATCACGCGAGTGTGTTTGAGGATGGTAAATATCCTGTATTAGGAATAAACATTGCAAGCTAAATACATAGTGTTTATTCCTAATATGAGATATTTACCATTCCAAACACAAGCGTGATAACCTCTTTATCATACAATGTCATTCTACAATTCTGTGCTCGAAAAACCTCTTCCTATCTCTCACAAACATTACCTAAACAAGTTTTCCTGGAATGCGCGCATTAATATATATGACGTCTGAAGGTAGGTGATGTGTCTTCGGACAGTGAGAACAGACTGTATAGTTCCAACCGAAACCTGTTTCTTATACAGTGGCGTAACTGCATAAAGGCAAAACAACTATTGCTTACAAAAATTGCTTCTACTTGCCCTTCGCAATTTTCACGACTTTCATTGGTCTGTCCGCTAGAGTAAATGTCCTTTATCAAAGGGAGGTTACTCTAACACTAGTCTATGAGACATCACGACTGTTGACAGAGTCTGCCTGTCCTTAATAATACTTAATCTCTGAAGGTACCAATTCACAATTCGGGAACGGTGAGGTCTTGCATCATCGTGCATCGAAGTCCTGGGATCTGGCCCTGGCGTATGGTCTAAATATGGGATGAAGGGTGTTATCTTAATATCGTTGAGCTCTCATTCCGAATGATATACAGGTCTGTAGCGCCCTCAAAACTGATCCCTCCGCAGAACATGACTGAACCACCTCCAAATCTATCGTGTTGCACAACCCACGGGTTCTATATACGTCTTTGCACAACCCAACAGTTACCAAACCTCTCATTTTCTGAACGCGACACGCCTCCTACCATCATGAAAGTCGAGACAAAAGCGTGACTCGTCAGTGAAAAGAATAGGTCATAACTCGTTCATTCAAATGTTGACATAGAGGATTAACCACTGTTTCGGTTGTTACCGATTAATCTACACACGAGTGATAAATCTATCACGATTAGAACGAGGCTTTGCCGAGTTCTAATTGTGGCAGATTAATCACGAGTGTGTAGATTTTTTGGTAACAACCGAACACATGTGGTTAATCCTTTTTCTCCCATAACAATACGCCATAAAAAGTCGAGCTCGTAGTTAAAGATTTCCCGTGTTTAGTAACCACTCGGGATTCCCCCCAGCCTCGTTTTCGAAATATGCTCAGTAAGACAACTGCACCATAAACAGGTAAAAAGGATCTAGCGAAGACAACCCACACGAGTTTTCCCGTGACAGGCAAGCCACTTGTTAGCATTCATGTTATGTTTTTTGTTAACTATTAAAGCTGATGGGAGTAACGTTTTGAGAATAATATGATGTGATTTGATATCTGTTAATTGTTTTGGATTACTCGGCCCATAACTTTATTTGCATTCGTCTCGCCATGTCTATCATTCTCAATGCGCAACACTAAATAGGCCCACCTTTTTAGTATATGTAAATACGTTATTCGTTTATTTGTCCGCTAGAAACAAATGTTATAAACCCAATTCAGAGGAAATTAAATATCGTCTTTAATATTGTGAAATATTGTTAACGAAAAACAAGGGCCCAAGGAACTGTCAGCAGGATTGATCAGGCAAGATTCTATAAATAACAACTCAGGCAACTGATCAGCTGATTACTGCTAGGTAAAGTCCATCAATTGATTGTAATATTTTTGAACGAATTTTCCCCTTTAAAACTAATTTTACAGTGAATAATTTAATATGTAAAATGATGATCATTTCATGTCATCTTTTTTGTTTGTTTTTGTTTTGTTCCTGAACATGGTGAGCACATGTGTTTTTACTATATATAAAAAAATAAACCTATTCAGTGGACAATTTTTCTTTTGAACATAATATTTAACATCATAACACAAAAAATGTTATTAAATGTGTTATCTAATTTCCCAATATTTGTGAATGACAAGAAACAATGTGAATATGAGAAGCACAATACTTTATTGTGTGTGAAACATAAATACATAGGATTTATGTGAACAATAGATTATCATTTCAATAGTTATACAAATATTTGCATTTTAATACCCTTGTAATGCTACATTGTTATTTTACTGCAACAGTTACCTCCAAACTCTATTCTTTTCTTATTTTATCAGATTAGAAATTAAGACTTACTGATAATAGGTAATTTAAAATTAACATTTTCTTCTTTTCATCTTCATGAAAACAAGACTCACAATAAATATATATTCAAGTGACCTGTTCACATATGATTTTTTTGTATAAAGTATTAAAATTAAAATTAGACATGGCTAATGTTAAGAAATGAGGTTTATGGTAAAATGTTTTAATACAACCTCTCCTTGGTTATTTCTTCATCACCCATAAATTTGAGTTTTCTTTACTTACCAGCGACACAGCTTGCCATTCTCAGGCAGCCAATTAGATTATGTGAAAAAAATAAACCACTGTAAACCTTGTAATCGGAGAATAATACATAAAAAATACATTTCTTATTTTGTCATATGACCAGTTTATCACCCCAAGAAATAATTATCATTAAAATTAAGATAGCTATGCATATTGGGGCTCTTTATCTGCTATGATAAAATAACAATTGCATTATTAAAAAAGTGTGGGTTTTTTTCAGTAAACATGGTAAATGATAAAACTTTGGTTTAAAGAAAATACTTGAGACAAACAGAATTCTACATGTCTTTAATACTCTGTATTGTCTGTTAATTCTGAAAATAATTAACTGTGATATTGAGTTTCTACCTAAAAATAATAATATGAAATTAATTTTGAGATTATTTCATCCTATCTAAAATACAAAATATATTTTAAGATGCATAAATGTAGATCATTGTTGAAAAAAAAATTGTTTTTGAAAAAAATACCTAACAAAGTTGATTGGTGCCCACCATCTTTATCTTCAACAGTTTGTCTGCTCCCTATTAGAAATCAAAATAGTTAGGAAAAAATGTTAATACATATATTACATTTTTGATGTATGATTTAATACAGTCAAGTTTAAACGTGGTGAGTTCCTTAATTGTCCTGAGATAGTATGTTTAAATAACTGAAGTCTTCATGTGGAAAAACACACCAAATAATTAAAGGCCAAGATAAATTAATTATATTGATCTGGATAAACTCCCCCTTTTGAAAGGGGAAACAACTGCTGTGCTTGCAAAACATCTTGGTCGTGAGATGAACGGTCCGTCCGGCAAAGATTGATCGTTTCCTGCATTAAAATTGAGTATTGCGTTAGATCCAAATGATTTGAGTGTTTATTTTCTTAAAATATGAAATTTAAGTCTCGATTATTTTAATATAACTATGAAATATGTTTTTGATCGATCGGCTCAAGATCAACGCTTCGTTATGACGTGAAATTTCTTATGTGGTTGATGGTTATTTATTTTAAAAATTACAAAAATAATACGGTTTGTTTCACTATTTCATCAGTATTTTTACATGAATTAATTAACTGTTTCTTTAGCTGTTTTATTAGTCTTGAAAACGCCCTGTTAAGAATGTACCAGAGTGGCTCAGCTGGTCCGGTAATATCGATGCGGTATCTCGCTTCGGTTACCGTCTACCTGCAACTGAATCTCGTACACTGGGAAGCCGAAATTCTCTGATATATCTCCACATATCACACACCTTCCTCCCCCACTAATTCACTCTCGGTCACCAACTTTCGGAGATAGAAACATCATCACTACGGTAATGTTTTGACAGATGGGGGATTTCCTGTACTAGACGACATCAGGAATCCCCAATCCGAAAATGGTGCCGTCAATTATTTTTAGCCAGCCAATCAAAATGCGATGACACAGCTCTCAACTCTCAGACAGCCAATCAGATTGGTGAATAAAAATAAACCACTGCGAATAAACCACTGATGGCAATTGAAGCTCAAGCCCTGTTATGGGAGAAATGTTGTCTACCAAATTAAAGACGGCGCTGCCGATATCGTAATTTCAATGGAGGACATACAGCAGGTCTACAAGCTGCATGGTGTCGTCTCTACTGTGAATAGAAATGCGCCAGTAATGTTTCTGAATTCGGGGATTTTGCAGAAGAAAGACGATTTCGCTCAGCAAGGAGGGTAATTTGTCGATCCTCTTGGGGCGTAGGTTTCTTTGCAATTGGTCGTCCTGTTTAGGCATTTTCTTCAGAGATGGCGCTGTCGATATCATATGGTCTGTGGAGGACATGCAGCAGGTCAACGGGCGCTTAAACGAGCTGCATGAAGTCTACTCCTAACTGACTGAGAAGTGCGCACCCAGTAAAGTTTCTGAATTCATTATTCCTGGATTTTGTAGAAGAAAGAAAATCTCGCTTAGCAAGAAGGGTAATTTGTCGATTCTCTTGGGGCGTAGGTTTCTTTGGTTGCCCTGTTTTAGGCCTAATCTTCACTGACCGGCTGTTTGGCACCTCTCCCAGACTCAGATTAGCACACTGTGGCTTATATAAATTGAGGTCCAACTTCACGTTTTCCCAGACCAGCTTCCAATAAACTCATTGCCCTACCCGCTTCTGCATTAGAGAGATGACACCGACCATGCATTTTGCTTCTGTAAATATTGTACACATCAGGGAAGACGAACAGTGTGTGTGTTTTCTTCTGTAAGTATTGCACACGTCGGGGAAGACGAACAGTGTGTGTGTTTTCTTCTGTAAGTATTGCACACGTCAGGGAAGACGAACAGTGTGTGTGTGTTTTCTTCTGTAAACATTGCACACGTCAGGGAAGACGAACAGTGTGTGTGTTTTCTTCTGTAAGTATTGCACACGTCAGGGAAGACGAACAGTGTGTGTGTGTTTTCTTCTGTAAACATTGCACACGTCAGGGAAGACGAACAGTGTGTGTGTTTTCTTCTGTAAGTATTGCACACGTCAGGGAAGACGAACAGTGTGTGTGTTTTCTTCTGTAAGTATTGCACACGTCAGGGAAGACGAACAGTGTGTGTGTGTTTTCTTCTGTAAATATTGCACACGTCAGGGAAGACGAACAGTGTGTGTGTTTTCTTCTGTAAACATTGCACACGTCAGGGAAGACGAACAGTGTGTGTGTTTTCTTCTGTAAATATTGCACACGTCAGGGAAGACGAACAGTGTGTGTGTGTTTTCTTCTGTAAACATTGCACACGTCAGGGAAGACGAACAGTGTGTGTGTTTTCTTCTGTAAGTATTGCACACGTCGGGGAAGACGAACAGTGTGTGTGTGTTTTCTTCTGTAAATATTGTACACGTCAGGGAAGACGAACAGTGTGTGTGTTTTCTTCTGTAAGTATTGCACACGTCAGGGAAGACTATCAGTGTGTGTGTGTTTTCTTCTGTAAGTATTGCACACGTCAGGGAAGACTATCAGTGTGTGTGTTTTCTTCTGTGAGTATTGCACACGTCAGGGAAGACTATCAGTGTGTGTGTGTTTTCTGTAAATATTGCACACGTCAGGGAAGACGAACAGTGTGTGTGTTTTCTTCTGTAAATATTGCACACGTCAGGGAAGACGAACAGTGTGTGTGTTTTCTTCTGTAAATATTGCACACGTCAGGGAAGACTATCAGTGTGTGTGTGTTTTCTGTAAATATTGCACACGTCAGGGAAGACGAACAGTGTGTGTGTTTTCTTCTGTAAATATTGCACACGTCGGGGAAGACTATCAGTGTGCATTGTGTAAGGTGAGGCAAGCAACAGTCTACCAAAAGTTGTACACCTTGAATCTCATACTTCGCATGCTCTGCCACACCATGTACATTTGTACATGCATCATGTGACGTTACATAAGCCTGTTGAAGGGCCAGAACTTTGGATATTTGTTTGGACTATCATCATGTAACTTTTTTTTGCCATTTCTGTCAGAAAATGTAAGTGGTCCTTTTTTGTTGATTATATATAATATAGTCACCTTAAAAAGCCTGAATGTACACTATATTTTTACTCGTCCTTTTATCACCATAAAAGCGTTTCCCTTCTTAATCCATACTTGCAATCGAATGGTGTATACAAGCACTTATGGAATTTCCCACTGATATCCGGTATATGTTTGTCATGTTCATTTAAATCAACACAATATCTCCCTGTCGTTTCTTCACTCATACCAGCACTATATGTAGTACTGTTCGGATCTTCTATACTTCTATTCACGTTACAAAACACTATTCACAACACACGACACTATTCACAACACAACGTCAAGAATTAGACAAGGTATGAAGACCAACCAGGCTGTTGAGCAGATCCCTTCTTTAAATACGACTAGATCCTTAATATCAGGTTTCCATTCTTGTGTGTTTACAAAGCAGATTAACCTGAGGTGGAAACACAAACATAAAACGTTAACGGTATGATCGCCGCATGCCGTATACCCGATGACACGCAGATAACAGAAGGGGTCAGTATGTGGGGCCTTGTCTGATCTGGCTTATATCGACTGGGTCACCTCAATCAAGATAATCAAAGTTACTCGCACCCTTCACACATTAAACAAAGCAAATTGTTTGTTATAATCAGTTTGTCTACTGAGATATTCCTGGACTTCAGTCAATCCATAACCTTGTTCTTACGTTACATAGCTCGTGTGGCCAAGTGGTCGAAGGCCTTGGGTTCGAATACCAGATTACCTGCGGTTTTGATCTGTCGTGTTGAAACCAGATCCATGTTGTGAGTATCATGATCACGTTGTGGGCAGTGATATTTGGGGTATATAAACAAACGCGTTTAAACGTAATCTAAAGGACCGTCTCAGTGGTCTATTGGTACAGCGTCCGCCTGAAGGGCGGAAGGTCCCGGGAACGATCCCTTCCTAGCAAAAGACGTTAAAAGGTGGTACTTGTTGTTGAACTCCAGAAATATTGCAGCTCATGGTGATACGGGATGGACTTCCAGTGTGATCGTGAATTACACAAACGTATTTAGCATTAATAAAACATTGTCAATTCCTACCTTCTGTCACAAATACAAGTTTGTTTGGTTTTTGTTTGTTTCTACTGAGGTGTGTATGTGGAGGATGGGATTTTAAATGTTGCGAAACATGACAGATAGACCCGGGAATGAGAGTATGTACACATATCAGATAGGTATTACTTATCGCGCAAGCACGTCAAAGCATATTAGAATTGGTCAGCTGCCTCTGTATGTCCATTTTATCAAACTGCAAGAAATATAATGTTTAATAACTTAACGAAAATTTACAAAACAAGCTGGTCACACATTAATGGCTTAATTGCGAAAGGTTATCGTAGAGAGATTCATAAGGAAAAATATATCATGGCCACAAGTCTACACCACCACCACCCCACCCAACCACCCCTCGCCGTTAACGCCTGCGCCGACTCGCCACAATAAGATATAGCTGTATCCTCTTATCACAATGCTGGTTCAGTGGGACAGCATATCTGTTTCCCCTTGTCAAATGCTTAAATACAGTCTGGTCTAAAATCGCTTTAATAAAAAACGCCACAGTTAACAACATACTAGTTACATACGATACTATACTCAGCGGCAAAAAAAACCCAAACCATATAGAGAAGTATGTACGTTAATAAAAGATGTTTACAATGTGTACCACTTGTGTACCATGTGTACCATGACAAAACTAACAATCAGTCAAGTGTTACCATAGAGGGTCTTTATTCTTATCACGATATGCTGCGTGTGCTTTCCAAACTTTAAACGCTAACAATGCACGAGACAAATAGGGATTCTCGAGTCATGGATCTTTGACGTCATATGTCATACATAAATATATTTTAAAAAGAGAGACTTTATTAAATCTCAAAATATTTCTCCGACACGTTTACTTTCAAACTGTAAAGAATCCCGGGACCTAGGCTTTTGGCCAATTGACCGTCAGCGAGAGGTATTGCAGTCACTTCCCAGGCTCCCTCTGCCGCAAGCTTGTCTATCAAGGGAAGTAACCGGTCACGGTACTCGACAGCGTTGTTAATGTTCTTTTGTGGGATTGTGAAAACTATCCGTCCACCTAATCCGAAAAAAAACAGACTGGTGAAGTATACTCAATGTTTGTCAATTCAATTAATAAAGCAAAATATAAACAATATGGCTACATTTGTGTAAACAGAGGCAGAGCACAAGGGGACGTGAACCTGTCGAGTGTACATGGTTCACTGAGAGAGTGCCATCCAAACTCAATGTCAGGATTGATATCCAGTCAGGTCATGCTAAATACCCCTCAGCAACAGTATCCCAAGGATAATATGTCCATTATAAGTAATTTCAATTCTGACAACTTACCGGGCTTAACAATTCTGATCATCTGGGCGAAGGCATTACAGGGTACTAAACCCTCATTGAAAGCTGCTGTGGCCGTTATGCAGTCATAGAAGTCTGAAAGAAAGTTATCTCATGGTTCATTATGACAGTGCATTCACAGTTACAGACATAGTGGCCCAGTGGGTGGGAGAGTAAAGTGAGTATAATGTTGAACAGTATTTGAGTTGTGTCGGCTTGATGTGGGAGGATAGTCGGACATGAAGCAGTTCTAAGAAGTCTTCCACTGTTTAAATATAAGGAACAAGAGCAAGTTGGGGGGAGGCGAAGGATTATAATCAGGGAGAACATGTTGGATTCGAACCCTTAGACGCACATGTGCACGTCGAATCGTTGCGCCGTTAGATGACCATGCCACTATGCCCCGTTCATACAAGCTTCGTACCACTCGAGCGCTTTGGTTTCGTACAGTCAAGTCTCGTTTATCCGACACTCGTTAATCCGACAATCGGCTTTATCCGACACAAATGATGGGAACCGATTAAACCAGTGCTGCTTAGACCCGTAAATCCGACAGTCTCGCACTCCGACTCGGACACACCTAATTTGCAACGATTTGCTGAAATCACTCATTAATCAGTCTCGTTAATCCGACACGGTGATCAGCGTACTCCATGGTCATCTGCCCGCGAGTACATAGCCCCGTGTTTTGATGCGATACGAGTCGGCGTGTGGCTGCTTATTTAAACGGCTGCAGAGATAAACTTTGTGTTTTGTGTATATTGTGGCGACTGTCACATTTGAATCTCCGGCTAGTTGACTAGTCGATGGGGTATTGCTAAAAGGGGCGTAAAACCATACTCACTCACTCACTCACTCACTCATTACACTGCCGGTTTCAACAACTTCACATTCACAATTACAGTTCTCTTTTATTGGTACATGTGGTATCAATGCGCAAATGTGTAGACGGTTAAGACCGAGTCAGGACCAGAAATCCAGTGATTGACATTATGAACAAGGATCCACCCCGTCGGGGTACGTTTAGAGGTAAACAACCAATTCACTGATCCTGACCTGGAATCCCCATTGGGCGGTTGCTATATGAACATTTATACAATATTCATGTCATATATGCGTGTATAGACCCTTGGTAATATTACAGATTATGGAGTGAAATGCATTTATTTAAATAATTGATAGACTATATGTCTGAAATCCGTCTGAAAATGAAACTATGAAAGTTGGCTGTGTGGGCTTTAAATATGCCTGATGAGAGGGTTGATAATTGTCCTTTACGACCAGTTACTGATCTTATGACGTCAGCTTGATCAGTTCTGGCACTATGGAACAGTATGTAAGTCCCCAAAATAATTTCAGTATTTTCTGAAACAAGTTAATTAACTTCACCCTCTTCCAGTACCTGTTTCAATTTCCTCGACCCTGTTTTTGTCCATGAAGGCACAGATCAGGCGACGGTAAACGTTTCTGGTTTTTGCCACATCCAACATTTTCTGAGCAGGATCAAGGGCATCGACGTAGGTGAAGCCAAGCGCCTTCAGCTGGAACAGTGGGGTGATACATGTCTATCAACACTTCAAGATTTACATCAAGAACTGTGAGTATTGGCTCCAAAACTATCCTTGATGATCGAGCACACTACCATTATGCTGTATCCTGTGGACCGTGGCCTGGAGAACAGAGTGCACGTGAACATCTAAACATTTCCTTTTATTAGTAACAGTGGGTGAGCTGTATTTTATAAGATTAACAATACTGATTAGGGTTAAAGCAAAAACAACAATAACAATAATGCAGGTCTTAAGGCGGCTTTAAACGACCAAATTAGTTTGGAAACAAAAGGTTGGCAAACTTTTTTAACTTTGAGTTCACACGACACATATGTGTTGTTACTTAGTTCCGCATGGCGTCTCCGGTGAGCATTTGTCCCAGTGGCATGTAAGGAAAATCGCGGCGGCAGGGTCATCGATGGCTCTCCTTCGGAGAAAACGCAGTAGAAAGAGATAGAAAAAGAGGGAGATATGGGCACCCCTATATAAACTCTTCAAAAAAAGAAACTTGACATAGATGTAAAACTACTTTTTGCCAAATATCTAAAATAATTACATTAAATGAGAACCAAATAAGTCAAACAGAAAGATGATGTGTCTATAATTCGCGAAAACACATGCAAAGCACATAAACGTAGCGCTTGGGGATCAATTTTACAGCTTCATCCAAAAACGTGCAGCACAGGATCCTGCATTTAGGCATGCAGGCCCCCCTGCTGAATGGGTATAAAAATCCACATCAACGGCTGTTCATACAGTCCTTATAACGGCAGTAGAGGCGGTGACAGAATGCCAAGGCTATGATGCAGCTCAACGGAACAACGCCATTGGGAGATACAAGACTGGAGCAACTCAGCAAGAAGTGGCCAGGCACTTTGGCGTATCCAGACAGACAATCTCCGCACTGAGGATCCGATACAACAACACCAACAGAGTTGACGACAGACCAAGGTCAGGGAGAATAAGGGTGACAACCCAAACACAAGATCGATACATCCGGCTGCGACACCTCCGAGACCGCACTACCACAGCCACGTCTACAACCACACAGATCCCTGGGGTACGCAGAATATCAGATCAAACGGTACGCAACAGACTAGGGGAGGCTGGACTCTTTGCACGAAGACCTGTTCGACGTCATGTATTGACCCCACGTCATATGGCGGACCGTCTGCTTTGGTGCCAACAGAGGGTTAGATGGACACGTGCAAGGTGGAGAAATGTACTGTTTACTGACGAGTCCCGTTTCCTACTTACACGTGCTGATGGGCGCGCACGTGTCTACAGACGTCGGGACGAACGTTACGCCCCCAACTGTGTGCAGCAGGTTGTCCCATTTGGCGGCGGGAGTGTCATGGTGTGGGCCGGAATCCATCACGGTGGTAGGACGCCTCTCGTGCATGTGGCAGTTGCATTGACAGGTGTGCGTTACAGAGACTTGATCCTACAGCCATACGTTCTTCCTCACGTCAACGTTCATGGCGGACAGTTCCAGCAGGTCAACGCTCGACCGCATATTGCACGTGTCTGTCTGGACTACAGAGCATCTGTGGGACGAGTTGGATCGACGCGTTCGCAGAAGGAATCCACCGCCCCAAACACTTCCGGCGCTTCTTGATGCACTTCAGCATGATTGGCAGCACATCCAACAGCGTGTTATTGACAACTTGATTGCATCTATGGGTCGTCGGTGTCAAGCGGTGATTGATGCACGTGTTGGGCACAACCGATACTGACATGTTCTGTACCCCTGTGACATTAACTGTATCGTGTACGTGTGTCTGTCTAGGTGATACGATTAATGTTTTGAACATTGTGTACACTGATCTTCAAACAGTGTTTCAATTATGGTTTCTGTGTCCTATTTTGAAACAATCGCATTATATTACATTTTGAAAGTCAGTGTCAAGTTTCTTTTTTTGAAGAGTATATAATTGGTATCAATCAAGCTGATGATAATCCTTGATTTGTTAGCAAAGCAGCTTTCACCAAAGTGATAAAAGCCATTTGTTTAGCAAACGTCAGTAAAAAGTCACGTGATATTTACGCAGTAAATGATTGGTTGTAAGCGACCAGCATATGTTTGACAACCATTCATACGTCACAATCGGGTTTAAAACACTAAAATTTGGGCCAACATATTGATGGGAACAGAGACCGATTTCTCGCCAACAATTTTGTCAAACTTCACAAACTGGTTTTCAAACTGTTTATTGCAATGTTCACACACGCATGTGTCCCCCGCCGTGATGTTGCTGGAGTATTGCTAAATGCTGCGTCAAATCAAACTCGCTCACTCACTTATGTTTGTAAACTTAAGTTTGACGTGTGAATCCGCCTTTAGACGTTTACCACTTTGGTGAAAACTGCCGGTGGTGACAAACCAAGGATCACCATCGGCTCGAATGATGACGAAACAACAACCAACTATTGTATTGTTTTCTTAGCCGTTAAGCTGATACAATTTGACCTTTGGGTACCTTCAGGCCGACAAATCCTGTCCCTGCTCCGACGTCCAGAACTTTCAGACTGGACCGGTCGCTCTCAGGGTAGGTCGTGGCCAAGAAGTCTCCGACAAGTTCATGAGCCCGGAGTCCCTTTTCCAGGACTTCCTGTCAAGTCAAATAGGGTTACAGGAAATTTGGAAAAGGCTGGGAATTTGAAAGAACGAAGAATGTTCTTACACTGGTTGTGTTTATCTAAGTGTTGGTGGCGAGGAGGCAGACTGTATCCTACCTCATCATAGTCGTCGGCGAAGTCGTCGAACATCTCCGCTATCTGCTGCGGAGTCATGTCCGTCCTCAGTTTAGGATTAAACCTGGCTTCCTTGTGATGTTGGGACATTGTGTCGTGTCGAGGTCTGTCAAGGTCGATTAGGATGATCACACGGGTGTTGAACTTTCTGGAACACAATACTTGTTTCTCTGACATAAGATGTGTATTTGGGGACTAGGCTCTGAAAACTTAGCAAAGTTAGACTGAAATCGTTCAAACAATTTGTAAGTCTGCAAGTGTCATTAATGATGTGTTACAATGAAGCAAATAATGGCAATCCGGTACTATTCACAACACACGACACTATTCACAACACACGACACTATTCACAACACACGACACTATTCACGCCACACGACACTATTCACAACACACGACACTATTCACAACGTCAAGAATTAGACAAAGTATGAGGTCCAGCCAGACAGTTGAGCGGATTCCTTCTTTGAGTGAGTGAGTGAGTGAGTGAGTGAGTGAGTGAGTGAGTGAGTGAGTGAGTGAGTGAATGAGTATGGTTTTACGCCGCCTTTAGCAATATACCAGCAATATCACGGCGGGGGACACCAGAAATAGGCTTCACCCATTGAACCCGGGTCTTCGGCGGGACGAGCTAACGCTTTAACAACTAGGCTACCCGACCGCCCCTCCTTCTTTTATACGAGGGCCGGTCGGGTAGCCTGGTGGTTAAAGCGTTCGCTCGTCACGCCGAAGACCCGGGTTCGATTCCCGACATGGGTACAATGTGTGAAGCCCATTTCTGATGTCCCCCGCCATGATAAAGCTGGAATATTGCTAAAAGCGGCGTAAAACAATACTCACTCACTCACTCACTCACTCACTCACTCACTCACTCTTTATATACGATGAGATCAAGTTTCCACTCTTGTGATTTTACAAAAAAAAGATTAACCAAACATAAGACGTTAACGATATTATGCCGCGTGCCAATAGAATACTGTAAGGGACAGGGAGCAGGAAGCAGGGAGCGAATAACGTTGAATATATCCTGATTGAGGTGACCCAGTCGATATAAGCCAGATCAGACAAGGCCCCACATACTTACCCCTTCTGTTATCTGCGTGTCATCGGGTATACGGCATGCGGCGATACTACCGTTAACGTTTTATGTTTGTGTTTCCACCTCAGGTTAATCTGCTTTGTAAACACACAAGAATGTAGGGCCTTGTCTAACCTAGCTTATATCGACTGGGTCACCTCAACCAGGATATAATCAACGTTACTCGCTCCCTCACATATTACACAAAGCAAATTGTTCGTTAAAGTCAGTTTGTCTACTAAGATATTCCTGGTCTACAGTCAATCCATTACCTTGTTCTTGCGTTACATAGTTCATGCGGCCAAGTGGTCGAAGGCCTTGGGTTCGAATCCCAGATTATTCGCGGTTTTGATCTGTCGTGTAAGAACCAGATTCACGCTCTTGGGTTTCACGTTGCAAACGCATCTGTATTCTTCCTGACTTTTCTCCATCATTATCTAATTCCTCGTAATATAACGGGGGTGGGCACGGGTGGCCCAGTCGTCTACGGCGCCGCAATTAGGTGTGCAGAGTTGCGTCCATTTGGTACCAAAGAAACCTATGATTGTGGGTTCGAATCCCGGTTTGCCCCGATAATGTTTCTAGGTTTGTCAGCACCATACCCGTGCGTGTGGGTTTCACCGATGTGGTAAACGTCGGAGACCTGCATCACCTCGGGCTTTCCTCCCACGTTAAACTGACACGCCGCGATATACCTGGAACACTGTTAAAAGCGGCGCTAGACCCAACTCACTCACTCACCCACTCAAGAAATATAATGTTTAAGAGCTTAACGGAAATTTGCAAAAACAAGCTTTTCACACATTTATGGCTTAATAGCGAAATGTTATGGTAGATAGATTCATCAAACGAAAGGTTTGTGATGACCACAAGTCTACACTCACCTCTCTTAACGCCTGCGTCGACTCGCCACAATAAGATGCAGCTGTGTCCTCTTATCACAATGCTGGGTTAGTGGGACAGCATATCTTTTAAGCCTGGTCACATGAAGTTGAAACATCAGCTAGTGCCCAATCTAAACAACCCCAGTGTCATTGTCATGGATAACGCCTGGGAACCAGATACTGTTGCGCTCAATCATGAGCGGTCTGAAGGCGACCGTGCAGGAATATCTGACATCTTGAAATGTCGAATTCAGACCATCTTAAACAGAAGTTCTAACTCATGAAGGAAATTCGCCTGAATTAGAACCAGTAGAGTACAAGAGAGATGTCCATGGCGGCACAACACGGTCACAATGTTTTACGTACACCAGTCAGATACTGTGAACTCAGTCCTATTGGGCTTATGTAGCTAACATGTCATGTGTTACGTGATATATGTCATGTGTCATCTGTGATGTGATATGTGTCATGTGATATCTCATGTGAGATGTGTCTTATGTGTCGCACGCCATATATCATGTAAAAAAATGTTTTATGTGCCACGTCTCATGTCCATGTGGTAGATGATAAGTCCTAAGAATCATTTGTAATGTATATTGCTACCGCCACATATATTTACCCAATGCTTTTCATGAATGTAATCCTTATCCCGTGTAATCCTTATCCCATGTAACCCATGAAGATCCGGGGTAGAATGGATCTTCAACAACCCATACTTGCCGTAAAAGGCGAGTATGCTTGTCGTAAGAGGCGACTAACGGGATCGGGTGGTCAGGCTCGCTGACTTGGTTGATGCATGTCATCGATCCCAATTACGTGGATCGATGCTCATCAGATCAATCACTGGATTGTCTGTTCCAGACTCGATTATTTACAGACCGCCGTCATATAGCTGGAATATTGCTGAGTGGGACGTAAAACAACAAACCAACCAACAAACCTTATCCTGTGTATATGAATATAGGTAGTTGGTCTTGTGTGGCCATTTACTGATTTCACAATTTAGTTCTGTACGTTCCGATTTCGGGGCTGCCTTTAGCGTCCCCGACCGCGTCATACCAAAAGACGTTAAAAGGTGGTTCTTGTTGTTACCCTGTCTGGCGCTCGACATGAAGAGGCTAAAACAAGGACTGGTCGGCTCGGAGTCAGTATACTGTGTCTGAGTGGGGTATTCATGTTAAACTGCGGCATGGTATCTCAGTGAGCTGGCACTATAAATCGGCATCATTCCGGACAAGTACAATATTGTTATAAGGTTAAAAATGCATCTCAGAAACATTAGAATATGATAACAAATAAACCATTATAGCTGCAATGAGGAGTTGCATTAGATATAGTTTGTGACAGAACTTTTAGTTTGAAAGGAATCAATGTAATCTGGACATTTCATAATTATCATTGGATTGGTTCCTGGCTATCGTCCATTAGTTAATGAAACAAATAGAGAGTTTCAATGTATATTTCATTTGGAGCTTCCGGATGCGTGTCACAAAATCAATAGAGAGATTAACAATATGGCACATCGGCTTCTGGATTTTTCCGATTACGACACACATGAGTTCATGGTCAGATCTAACTTTTAACGAATCAAAATGATGTATTGTGACATGTGACAAGGACAGGCCAGGCTCGAACACTATAAAATGATACCTTCAACATTAGGAGAGGAGAGCGCGGTTTGCAATCGATCGAGTCGAATCCCGATCGTTCTAAGTTTCCCCCAGCTAGTGACGAGTCTGGCCGGTCTGATCCTGTCCTGTATTGATAGATGGGCTGAGAGTAAGTAAAACTAGGTGAGTATAAACCTGGTGTTGCTTTTCTTTTTATGCGTGTGTGAATGCTGATAGAGACAACTTGGAGTAAGTGTCGTTAGACCAATCACTCCTTGACGGAGCCGAGCCGCGGCGGACAAGGCGAGTCGCAATGTCATGGCGTAATTGACCACAAGGACCAGGAACGGCAATACATTTAGTAACTGTATTGGGGTCGCTCTGGACGGCCGAAAGCAGTTACGACAATATGCTACACACACACACGTGCATGCACGTCGCTACATAAGTGCAATACTCTTAGAACCCAATTTCACCTCACCTCACCTCACCTCACCTCACCCGTGTTATATGTGTCATGGCTTGAGCCATATTTACTGTATACAATGTATGTAATATATAATTATCAAGTTCCATGACAAAGTGTCATGCGTTATGTGATATGTAATCCGTGATTTGTGATCTGAGTCGAGTGTCGTGCGGGGTGTGTGGTGTAGGATGTGTGTTGTGTTGTGGGATATGCTTACGTGATATCAGGTGTGTGATGTGTGTCCTGTGATTTGTGATATGTGTCATGAGTCATGAGTCACGTGGTAAGTGTTATCTGATATGTAGTATGTGATGTGTCATGAGAGATATATGACATACGATTTGAGATGTATGTGTCATGTGATGTTTGGTAAGTGATATGTGATAAGCGGCATTGGTCATGTGTCATGGGATATGTGATATATGATATGTTTCATGTGTTTTGTGAGACGTGCGACATGTTATGTGCTTCATGTCACGTGGCATGTAATATGTGTCATGAGTCATGTGTCATATCTTATGCATATATATATGAGTCATGGGTTATGTATTGTGATATTTGATATGAGATATGAGATATGAGATATGTGACATGTAACAAATGACATGTGATATGAGAATATGTATCATGTGTCATGTAATGTGTGTCATATGTCTTGTGATATGTTACAAGTTCCATGGGAGATGTGTCACGTGACATGTGGTATGTAATATGTTATATGTGTCATATGTCTTGTGATATGTTACAAGTTCCACGGGAGATGTGTCACGTGATATGTGGTATGTAATATGTGATATGTTATATGTGTCATATGTCTTGTGATATGTTACAAGTTCCATGGGAGATGTGTCACGTGATATGGGGTATGTAATATGTGTTATATGTGTCATGTGTCTTGTGATATGTTACAAGTTCCACGGGAGATGTGTCACGTGATCATATGTGGTATGTAATATGTGATATGTTAAATGTGTCACGTATCTTGTGATATGTGATATGTGAAAAGTTTCAATGACAAGTGTCATCTTACATGTGACATGTGTCATGTGGTGAGTCAAGCCAAAAGTTGACCGTACCAATTAGTGATGGTAACAGGCGTTAGCGAGGGCATTAAGACAATTCATTCGCTATTTCACTAGCAGCCAACAGTTTACCGATCAATACTATCATAGACCTTTTATTACACCTACCATCCTGTATGATTATACAGAATGCAAACATTCTGCCGACTAGAAGTTGGGGTTGGAGTGTGTTCGCGATAATGCCACTTTGAACGGTATTTCAGTCCTTATCACTGCTGTCATCTACAGGGGGAGGAACATTCGTCACCACTCGCCCCTTTCCGTAACCTGCAAGAAGACTCGTCCCCCTATCGATGAATGTTATGTGCGAAAATACGACAAACCAATCAGAATGCGCGTATGATTTCAAGTTCTTCGTCAAAGAATCCCTCAGAAATAATTTTTGATTTTACATATGTCTTGCATCTAAAAATATTCCCAAGACACAGTTAAATGTGTTCAGTCATACTGTATAATTCCGCATGTCCCGATGTGCTTTAAATTGCATCTGAAATATATATAATATATGGGGAAATAAACCTGAACCATTACACAACGAGTTGACAATTGTTTTAGGTATGCCCGTTTGCGCTAAGACGGAACCCGGTCACAAGAGGAACCCACAGGCACGGGTATGGAGCTGACAAACCATGAAGCATTCATAACCAGGGTGAGTTTCAACCAATGGTTATAGGAATCTGGCGCGTCTAAATGTATGTAGGGCTAATTTTGACAGCATAAAGAGGTGAGGTTTGACATGTTATTTCAACGTGTCAGAGTCTTTGTCATATTAATACTCGTATTCCTGATCGAAACAAAACTGAAGACAAAAGATCGGAAAAAGCTCCTGCAAGATGAAAATCAAAATTACGAAACAGATTTCAGTAGACTTGTGAAGGTTAACCACACACCGTGTCGTTTTGGAAAAAAATGTATTTATATCACTATTCTATGATATTTCTTAAAAGGAAAGTTAGTTGTATTCTTTACTGATATTGTAATTTATCATATAATGGGTAGGTTTCTCGGCAGGATAAAGCCAACGGATAAAAACGATATCCGTTGGGGTCATATGCGGATAGAGATGCAAATACCAAAGGTCAAGTAGGACTACTTTCACTGTTTATAAACAAACATGGCGTCGCCCTCGTCATTCGGCGATCGAGTCAGAATTAACCATCGTGAATCTGGATAAACTACAGGGATAATTGCTATCATTATCAAACGAACAGTCTAATATACTGAAAATCAGTGTCTAACCGTGACGTAGCTAAGGCATTTTATAAGTTTTGGCAACTTTCGAGATATAAATTTCGAAACAATTTTGCGAGGGCACGAGGCCTAGCCAAGCGGGATCAGTAGCCATATCTCTGCTTGTAGACCTCTGTGGCTTGAAACCTTCTCCACAAATCAAAATGGTTGGATTCGGCCGAAATATGTTTGAACTGTTACCTTGTTTCGATTTGTCGCTGTGTGTACATCTGACTACACTTCTTAACGTTATGAAAGGACAGACCGACTGTCAACAACGTCTGACCGTGGCCGTGAATCATAGACTAGGGTAAGAGTAGCTTCCCTTTGACAAAGGGCAGTTACTCTAGCGGACAGACCGATGGATTGCCACGAAAGGCAATTAAAAACAACTGTTGTTTTGCGAATAAGTTGCTTCGCCACTGTATATGAAACAGATTTCAGTTGGAACTATATTGGCTACTGTCACAGTCCTACTGACACATCACTTACCCTGTGACGTAATAAATATTAATGCGCGCATTCCAAGAAAACTCGCAATGTTTCGGTAATGTTTGTAAGAGAGGGAAAGCGATTTTAAAGCACAGAATTAAAGAATGACATTATATGATAAAGAGGTTATCACGCTTGTGTGTTTGGGGATGGTAAATATCCTGTATTAGGAATAAACACTATGTATTTAGCTCGCCAAGGCTCGCTAAATACAATGTTTATTCCTAATGCAGGATATTTACCATCCCCAAACACACTCGCGTGATAACCT